CCAGCAGGCTCAATACTTGAGTCGGTGGAAGGAGCTATCGATGAAGAGGAACTGTCTCCCATTGCCGAGAAACCACAAGAAGCAACTGAACCGACCACAACCTCTCTTCCCATCCGGCCTAAGATGCCTCATAATCTTTGAACATACACTCGCTGCTATGCCTCTCTGACAAGGGATTGATCCCGGGGCATTTCTTGCGTCATAGATACCCGTTTTGCGAGTGCTTTACCAAGTCAGATTCTGCATTAGACTGCGATACATTCAAGTTCAACACTATTGCATGCAGAACTGGAGTTGGAGATTGCATTATACACGGCCATTTGTGCCTGACTCTTTTTAATTCATGGCATCCATGGCGTTTCTGGATTTGTTTTTGTACATTCATGGCGCACATACTTGGAGGATTGAATAGGACCATGAGATGAATAGGAAGTAATGAATGGAATAAGTGAATAGGCTTACATTGAAGGGCTCATAATACCATCTACGGATACTCTATAATGTAGTATATTAAAAGCATTAACTACATATGACTGTCTTTCAGGCACCACCTCTAGGGCTGCAGGCAACACGATTACATAATCGTGATATTGGTCCACCTTGGGAGGAGCCCTGGAGCTCATGCTTCTTTTCGGCCTCATTTAGCAATCACTTTCTCTATCTTCATCCCTACACTGAACGCTGCTCGAATATTTGGCTGTTTTCTAGCCCCTGAGCACTGTGCCAGGAATGCTCCCCGACTACCTTTTTTAGGTCATCTAATCATCACCTAATTCAATATCGACCACTTTCGCAACACCACAATTCGCTCTTTGCCTTCTACCTGATATTTGATCAACAATCCAAGACAAAATGGCATCCCCAAGCCAAACACAGGGCTCAGCGCCCACAACACAACCTCTCACCCCACCCGCTGAATCCTCCTCCGCCGCGAACGGGGCCTCCGCGCCCGCCGCAACAAGCTCTCAGACCCAACCCAATGCCCCAGCGACAGGCCCTTCAACAACAGCGCCACAACCGCCAACAGTCCCGGGAATATCAACCCAAGACAGCGGAAAAACGCGACGACCACGGGACGTGCGGCTGGTCCACATGCTTCTCGCCTCACTTGGGGTAACCTCCTACCAAGATCGGGTGCCCCTCCAATTGCTCGATTTCGCATACCGCTATACCGCTAATGTGCTACAAGACTCCGTGCATCTTGCGACGGAAGGATACGCCGCGGCCACAGACGGTACCGCGGGCGCAAAGGGCTCCGCTGAAGTGAATAGCGTTTCTCTGCCCGCATTGCGGCTGGCCATTGCCTCCCGCTTGCACTTCCAGTTCCAGACAGGGTTGCCGAAGGAGTTCCTTATGGAGGTTGCATCGGAGAGGAATCGTATTGCTTTGCCTGGTGTATCGCGTGGCTTCGATCCTGCTGCCGGTGCTAATGGCGCGGTTCCTGCGGCGAACCAAAGTGTTGTTATCGGTGGTATGCGCTTACCTCCTGAGCGCTTCTGTCTCACTGGCATGGGATGGAATATGAAGGATGAGTGGGATAGTGAGGGTGAGGAAGATGAGATGCCTGATGTGATGCAACAGCCTGGAGTTGGAAAGGGTGTTGGTGGTGATGGAGCCGAAGATAATGAAGACGAGGATGATAATGATGGGAAGATGGAGGACCTTTTCGGCGAAGATACCACCATGGGCGAGGCAGGTGATGGAGACGGGGACCGGAACATGACTGATGTTTAAGGGAATGCATTTACGCCCGGGGGTTCTTCTACCTTTGGCCTTGGGCTGGTGGTGTTTCTGGCGCTTGGTGTTGTCATTATCCTTTTCTCTCTAATCTACCATAGGACGGTGTCCTGGATTTTACTATCACGGAGAGCATATCTCATGACTTGTGTTTACAAATTAGGGTCATAATCCCATAGCCTGATCATGAAGGCAAATAAACCGATAAAGAAGACATTCTTCTGGTCAATTAAACCAAGATATGCAATCATCTGTGTGTATATTGTACATAATTCGGTCCATCCCATCGCTCGCATTCAGGATGATCATGCAATGTAATAAAGATGCCCAGCAAAACGCCTGCTTTGTTTGCTCGTGCGCCGTGAGGAGAGAGAATAGATATAAAGTCCGAGTCCGGATTAGCCAAGAAAGTCGAGGGCTGACCTGCCCGGGCGAGATCAGTTTGATATCTGTCTATCAAACTGAGGACGGGAAGAAGGCCAGGCTGGCTGCCAGGACTGTGAATTATGGACCGAGCTCCTTGAGACATGCAAGGCCCAGCCAATTAGGCAGTCAAGTCAGGTAAGAGTCTAACAGCTCCATTCCCCTCGCCCAGACTCAGCCCAAAAGGCGAAAATCCTCGCCCTCAGACCTCGGATAAACGCAGGAAGCAGAATACTCAAGACGCCAAAACCCATATAGACAAGAAATACTCAGACAAGAAATGAAGAGAGTAAGAGACGGACGGATCCACGGAGTGCAGGGGGAAATGTCCAATCATTTCCCTGCCGCTCGCGCGCGCGCTTCATCCTCGCGCATCATGCGAATGACTTCCTCACGTCGCTTCTCAACACGTGCAAGATCCTCTTCCTTCGCGCGCCGGCGTTCCTCATACCCCGCGAACCACTCCTCACGTGCGCGGTCCTCTTCTTCCGGCTTCGCGTGGGCGAGCATGCATGAATTCATTGCAAGACGTTGCTGGCGGCAGACCCATGTTGCGGTGACGGTGCGATTAACGGCGCACTCGGCGAATGCTATATCATAATTGGGTTAGTTGGTTGTTTCAGGCATATTCCAGGTGTGGGAAGTGGATCATGGTCATGCGATCCGGAGTTGTTCCTCCGCTTGACACCCATGACCGGCTTTTGTAAGGCCAAAGCTATGCATTATTCGTAACGAGGTGATGCATTTAGTGTATAAAGCAATGCAAATTGCATACCTTTAATTTCGGGGGCGCAATGGGCGCGTACTCGCTTGTAGAACAGCAGTTTCACTTCTTGTTCTTGGGGGGCCGAGAGCGGAAGCGGGTTGCGAAGATTATATTGTTTGGGTGCACTCTTAGGTACACTTGTTGAAGAGGTATCGGGGGATGTGGAAGATGTAGCCATTGGGACTGTATGTCGATCGTAAAGATCGAAGTTGATCGGGTTAAGTGTATGGGCTGGTTGATCGGAGAGTTTGCTTTTGAGAGGGATTGGTCCCAGTTATTGAGGGACAAGATGTGATTTCAGCTGCTCCAGAACCCAATAAAACGAACCAAGAGAGGTAGAAGTAAGTCCGAGAGGGGTTCACTGAATGGCTTTGCAGAGAAGATCGAGGCCAAGTGGGAGTGTTGATTGCGAGTGAGCCGAGCTTGGGCGGAGAGAATGTTACTATTGGCAGAATCAGAAAAAAAAGTTCTCCGACTTTGCATCTCGACTTTGACTTACACTCTTCTGCTGGAGACTTTTGCGTCTTTTCGATTTTCATATTTTATTTTTTTCTACACCTTCTCGTGCTCTATTTATTGTCCCGGGAATCATCAACACCAAAACTCAGCATGTCGTCCATGCGCAACGCCGTCCAACGGCGGAACCACAAAGAGCGTGGCCAGGTTCAGGGTCGCGAGAAATGGGGTCTCCTCGAGAAGCATAAGGTCAGTTCCTGCGGAGAAACGTTTGGAACATTTACCGATGATCCGGCCTTTCTCTTATGCCTAATCTTAAAGCAATCGTTCTAACTTCAACAGGATTACTCGCTCCGTGCCAAAGATTACAATGCCAAGAAGGCTAAGCTGAAGCGCCTCGAAGAGAAGGCGCGGGATCGCAACCCTGATGAGTTCGCCTTCGGTATGATGGGAGACAAGAACCGCACCCAAGGTCGGCACGGACGTGGCAAAGGCACAGCACGAGACTCTGCCGCAGCACAGGGACTGAGCCACGAGGCAATCAAGCTGCTCAAGACGCAAGATAAGGGTTATCTTCGGACGGTTGGCGAGCGGGTTCGCCGTGAGATCGAGCGCCTGGAGCGCGAAGTGGAATTGCAAGATGGCATGAACAAGGCCCTCGGCAAAAAGGATGGGAAAAAGAGCGAGAGCGATGACGAGGATGATGGGTTCGACGACGATTCCGATTTCGACTTCGGAGCCCCGGTGCAACCGAAACCCACCAGGACGGTGTTTGCCGATGATCGACAAGACCAATTGGCAATGAAGAAGCAGAGGATACAGAAAGAAGAACCTGCCTCGGAATCAGAGGAAGAAGATCAGACGTCAAGCAACACCCGCAAGACACCCAAGCAGCTTCAGGCTGAGCGACAAGCACTTGCAGATGCTCGACGGGCTCGCAAGCTCCGGAAACGAGCCATCGAGGCTCGTAAAAACAAGCTCACTGCGTTGCACAAGCAATACGCTGAAATCCGGACTGCAGAGCAAGAGCTTGATTGGCAGCGGGCTAAGATGGAAAATTCGGTGGGAGGTACCAACAAGGACGGAATCAAGTGGAAGATCCGCGAGCGCAAGCGCTGATTGTTTTTTTGTTTCGACGGAGTTTATGAGTGATGACTCGCTATCATCTTTTTTGTACATATTGATACCAACCACCATAGAGGCAGTCCGGCGCATACAGTAGCATCCAAGGAACCCACTTCAGTCCTGGCCATCGACTCTTGGAAAAGCTCGCTAATATCAAGCCCTGTGTCGGGCGATAGCTGGGAGACCTGTGATAAGACACCGCTGCTTATACTGGTAGATTTGACCATATCAAAGTACTGTGGTATCGCTACATCTACATTTGGGTATGGTTGAAATAATATCAAAGCTGGCTTCTCTTTCATTTACTATGATATGTAGATAAACACAACAGCATGGGACTGTACCTCTACAGGAATTTTGATTCATCTAATCTAATAGTGAATAAATTCCACAAATCGCACTTTATGCGAATCGGACGTCTATGCACATCTCAAAAGGTCACACTCCCATAAAAATTACATACATACAGGAATCCTGGGCATGACCAATATAGCTATACTCCTGCAACTGAATCTAGTCGGTTCAGAACATGTTGCGCTTGTCTGACGAGGGCCCTGCGCGCACTGCGTGCAGTATCATCCCCGTCTGGATCAATTCCATCTACCTTCAACATCACTTGAGCAAGAATGGTCTCGCTCAGCTTCCTATGTGTGTATTCCCGCTTCTTGGGATCGTCTGGCGGGTGTGCAATGAATTCTTCACAAATCGGAATGAGAACATGCTCAAACCACTCAGCCAAGGCAGTCACTTGCTCCATCGGTGTATGCAGTAGTTTAAGATTCGGCGGAGGCGAAGGTATGTTTCCAGGTAAACTGGGCGATGATGGGGGTTTAGGGCGAAGAGGAGGATTATGTATAGTCTGCTTGTCATTCTTATTGACATTCACTTTGGATCGTGCTCGAGGCAGGTTGCTTGCATGAGCTCTTTCATCGTCGGCATTGTCGAAAGAGTCGCTCAGTGTACCGGACTTTGTTTCGGAAACGACACATATCACTTCCGAGTTTTGTTTGATCCCAGCTTTTTTGCACGCTTGATTGTCATCTCTTAGCATGACTCCATTATATAGTAAATTAGCGAGGTTCGGAAGAGGGGCTCCGACTTTCCTCGCAGCTTCCATCCGTAGCGCGCCAACAGTGAGCACGCCGTCCTCAATGGCATATGCGCGGAAGTGGAGCGAATATTTGTCTCCACGGTAATGAATATAGATGATATCGGGTTTGAGCTCATTCTCATGGGGTTCACTCTCATCCGGGTGATCCTTCCAAAGAGAGTCCGGGTCATAAGCGACAACATCCTCGTTGATTTGGGAAAGATCTTTTGACGAGCCGGGCCCAAAGTTGAGTGCATCGTCCCGGCCAACTGCTGGCTCGGGTATCCCAAGATCCGCCCCAGACAAGTTGTTCTTTTTGGTAGACTGGGAGTCTGGTCCTGGTTAGTATTGATCTTCCTTTGGGGGACTTAGGGATACGGATACGAATACCACTCACCTCCCGCGGGCGAAGGCTGCTTAAACTCGCGGCTTAGGCTCATCACTTCGTCGATCTGGGCCTTTGATAATGGCTTTTGAATGACGATCATATCGTCCTACTTAGGTCAGTAGCCGACAATGATGTTAGAAAACAAAACACTAACCTCTTCCTTGAACGGATACCCTAGATCCATGATGGCATGCATATGAGCAAGGTGACGAGGGAGACGGGTCTTCCCTGTGCGCAGGTAAGGCTTCTCCTCATTCTGGCTGCGGACAGAACTGCTAGAGTCGCGGCGGTCATCAACCGTTTCCTCATCTTCGCTAACTTCAGGGAGACGCATGTTGTTGACAGGCTCGGAGGATCCTTGCATCACATTGAGCATTACACAGTTGTCGATGTGCTTATAGAAGTCCTGGGCGTCCTCGAAGGGTTCATTGCAGATAGAGCAATTTCCAGTAGAATCGCTAGTGTGGTCCATATCTGTTTTGATGGAGGAAATCGGGCTTTGATCAAGCTGGTTTGGTTGTAGCTGCATCACCCCATGGACGGTGATAAGGTGACGCTTGAACACATCCACCCGAGTGAAGCTCTTTTCTTTTGGTGTCCCAGCGCCTGGACAAAAGTGACAAACCATGACGCCCTTGTAGTGTGTCAGTATGTGGCGATTCCTATCATATCTGCGAGTGAACCCCTTGGCATGGTATCCGCACGTTACAATAGGGCACTTTTCTAGACGCTCAGTTTCGTTGTGCGTCATGGTGTGGGCTCGTAGGTCGACGAAGACTAGATCACATTGGGGACATCGCCCCTCATTGACTGGATCGTGTGACTTATCAGAATCCTCATCAGAAGAAATTGCACCTTCGTCGTCGTCTTCTTCGGATCGCGGCAACGCAAAGAGCGATAGCTCTTCCAGATGCCGACCCACGTGTCTTTCAAACTGCTTCCCAGATGGAAGCGAATATAGACAGAGTGGACAGTCCACAGGTATATTTGGTGTTTTAGATATGGAATGCTGGCTCTGCAAATGAGAAAACCACTCCCGGCGACTTTCATACAATCGATGGGGTGTCGGGCAGCTAGGGAAGATGCACAGATATGGCATTAAGTCATTGAAGACATGGCGAGCCCAGGTCCTCCGGTTTGGGATGGTGATGATCACGAAACAATAGGGACATTCAAATGGAGCTCCATCAGCCGAGTCTTTCGGGGGAGACGGGAGGACCGCCCCTTCCGCCCCGTTCAATATGGTTTGAGCGTAAGATGTTTGTGAGGCGACAGTTAGCAATTCTAAGGTTTCTTTTACGGCTGGTGCAACTTCTACAAACTCAGTTGCAACTGTGTCTGATAGTTTGGCTGATTGTCCGTCTGTCTGATCCTCAATAACCTGATTGAGACCCTGGCCGAGCTTGGTACGATGACGCTCACGATACTGCATAACGGCTCGACGTTGGGAAATCGCCAGCCCAAGGCGTTTCGAGATATCCTCCCCTGCTTGGGGGTATTTGTCTGAGACATGACGTATGTCAAACTGCTCATAAAAGACTGCATCAGATCTTTTAGTGCCGAGAAGGCGATCATGTTGAGCTGGCTGCCGGATGAGCATTGACATTTGGAACAGGTTGTTGATAGTATCTCGTAGAGCATGATAAATAGACTGCATTTCTGTTTGGTAATCATCATCATCATCTTCATCCCCGCTTAGATCCGAGAAATCGTCATCTCCGGATGAGTGATGCAAAATATCATTGATATCTTCGATGGTTCGTTGCAGCCGCTGAAGGACGCGAAGTGTCTGCTCTTTAATATGCGATGCATCCCGCAGTCGATGATCCAGCGACGATTGGCCGGTTTGGTGCGCCCCAATATTGGCAGCCCAAACCCGCAAACGACCAAGCTCATCTTTCCACAGCGCTGGCGGGACTTCAGACGCGAACGATGACAAGTCTTCGGAAACAAGCCGACTCAAATCTTTGAGGCATTGAACCACGGCAAACGAAATATTCGTCATAGAGGTGCTCGCAGATGGGGGTGTCGTCGTTGTTATCACAGGGTGCTCATGGTTCTCAGCTGGCTTTTCTGGCGAGGCCCCTTGCTCGTCGAAATTTGGCTCAGTGATCAAGGCTGCGTCTTGAGGAGCATTTCCATTGCTTTCAGATACATCCTCAAGGACTGTCTCTTCGATCGAGGAAGTAGATTGACCGAATGGGCCATAGTTGCTATCAACCGCTACACGAGTCCATCTTGACAAAAGAGTATCGGATGTATCCTGCCCCGGGTTCCGCTGGATGCTTCGCCTTTGTACAATGGGCTTGGGATCTTTCGGATCTTTCATAATTTTGGGCAGATTGGGGCAAATGCCCTTGCGACCCTGTGAGTCTTTTAAATCAGATTAAAATCGAACTTTGCACCAGACGTTTTGGGGTTGATCTCGTCGCTGCGGGGTTGCGGCTTAGATAGGTAAAGCCCCGCGCTTACACAGCATGACTACCGGGCTCTTTTGACCTCCAGTTCATTTTGTCCAGTTCGATTGCTCGATATGGAGGCTGCAGGCGTTGCCCTAGCAATTCTACCACTGGTCATAAGCCAGCTTGATAACTACGTCCAGGGTCTTGAGACCATCAAAAGCTTCGGAGCCAAGCGTTACCGTAGGGAACTTGAAAGCTATTCATCAAGCCTTGGAACCCAACAAGCCATCTTCGTCAATACCCTAGAGCGGGCTCTCGATGGAGTGGTTGAATATGAAGACGGGCTGGATGAATTGAGGAACAATCCTCTCGGGGATTTGTGGAAAAGACAGAGTCTCCAAACTAGTCTTCATGAAAAGCTAGGAAGAGACTTCTACCCCTTCAATCGGATGATGATAGAGGTTGCGACTCTGTTAGAGGAATTGTCACGAAAATTAGGGTTGGACAAGAATGTTTCGGTGGTTAGTATAGTTCGATTCCCCCGAGGCCCGCTCCCGAGGTCCAGGGCTAACCAGAACCTTGATCATACTACAGAACCATCGGGTGGACCAGTCCGCTATCAAGAAGGAGATCAAGAAGTTCAAAGACATTTTCTCGAAAAGCATCTACCTCGATCTCTTCGCGCGTCTCGACGCAGCCAATAAAATCCTGAATACCTTGGTTGAGCAGTCCGATTATCGAAGCACAATACAGAAACACAGAATATCAAAAAGACCCCTGTTGCGCCAGAAAAGGGCCCAGAAATCAGCCCGCAGTCTGCACAATGCAATAATACGGGGCAAGTATTGGAAATGTGCTTGTATAGATCAACACTCAATCCATTTTGTTCTTAGTTATCCACCAGAGGACATCAATGATGGTTCTAAGGAGTCCTCTCATGGGCCTCGATTCCGAATGATTTTCCCTTCCAACAGCCCTATAGACCTTGGCAAGGGATGGTGCGAAATTGAAGCTGAATCGGACACTATTCAATCAAACGTGGATACTTTGAACCGATCTCCACCCCAGAGTAATCAAGACAAAGCTCCTCTCGCTAAAAAGAAGGTCAAAGTGCAGTTTGCGTTCGATACATCATATGAAGATAAACCACCCATGATGCCTGATATGTCTTCCGTGCCTCCAATTGTGGACATCTGCTCGACGCTGTCTACGGTGGGGACCAGTGGCGAGACAAATGCACCTATTGGGTTTATCTCCGATGAAAACCACCGCCACAATATGTATTATGTTCGAAAGCTTGCCGGGAATCTGAGATCACAATCGCTCGCTGAGCTCATCGCGGCTTCAAGTGATATCTTCAAGGCGCCTACTGGCGGCAGCTTTCTTTTCACACGGGGCCACCGTCTTCGCGTTGCGGTTAATCTCGCCTGCAGCGTGCTCCAATTTCACGGAAGCTGGCTGAAAACACAGTGGAGATCACGCGATATCATGTTTACCAAGAATGCATCTGGGGATATCGATAAGCCATACGTCCTGTGGAACGTTGGCAGTGAGTTGGATGCCTGGAGTCTATGCAGAGACAACCCGACATTCTCGCTCATTCAAAGCGAGATTTTGTTTCCCCTGGGCCTTGTCCTGGTCGAACTTTCTTTATGCCAGACACTAGAGGCTCTACGTATCCCGGAGGATGACGATCCAGTGGAGGCATATGTGAATTTAAAGACAGCAACTCGCCTCTTGCGGGTGGTGGAGGAGCAAAGTGGTGGAGATTATGAAAAGGTAGCGAGGCGATGTCTACTTTGGCCTGGTACCAAAGACTCCACATTGGAAAGCGAGCAGATGCAAGATGAAATATTCCAACTTATAATCTCGCCATTAATCGAAAATCTGAGGAGTTTCGAGGGTAGGGGTTAATTCTATACAAACTTTAGAGGTAATGCATGAAATTTTCCAGTCTGATAGAGATTTATTTTAGAAAATGTCCTTTTCGATACACTCGCGACTTTCATTTTATAGGATATATCCGATACAAGGAGGAACATACAGCAATGCCCCTTGGGAAACTGTAAATTGTTTCCTCAAGTGCGGAGTAACCCCGGAAAGACCCTGTATGTAATGGAAATGCGAAAGGAACTCAATAACAGCTGGAAAGATAGAGGGAATAAAGGCTAAATCAAGCCCCAAACCCACAACCCCTAACCTGCCAGATGCGGAGGCGGGTTCGATTCCCCTATTTAGGTATTTGGGGAAGAAGAGTCGGAATGAGGGTCATGTGATAAGAGTCTTTAAGGTGACCCCGAATCATATTTGGACATTTCTAATGAATTGCTAATCATTCTCTCTGACTGGCATTCATAATTTCCAATATAAAGTCCTCTGATACTCCGTTGTCGCAAAGAGTCTAAAACGTTCAAGTAATCACACCATCGCTGATAGGACAATCTCTCTAATCGGCAGTCCTGAAGGTCCCGCGGAGACATCCACAAGGCTTAATAATCATTTGCCACCCCTCCAAGGGAACATTATATCCTCCATCATTTTCCCTTTTTTTCTACGTTTTCATATCTCAAAAATAAAAAATTAACAATGGCTCCTTCATTTATAACCATTGACTCCAACGACATGGATGTGGATTTCTCCACCCCCAAGCCAGTCCAGGCGAAGCGCACCCTGCTTCTGGCACCCCCCTCCATTGCCACTCAAGAGGACAAACTCCGCGGCCTTTTCAGCACCTTCGACCGCGCAAGCACAGACCTACAAATGCTCGACCGGCTTTCCGCAGGCCACGTCTCCCTCCCCGCAACAACCTACGACCTCGTCCTCATCCTCACCGACACAGACGGCACACGGCGCTCCGAGGCGCTGAAACTCCTCACTCGAGATGTATACGCCACCCTCGTCCCCGCCATGAAGGCCGGTGCGAAGCTGCAGACCCAAGACTCAGCCCTCAATGCCTCAGACGCCATGGAAGCTATCCTGGCTGGTCTCGTGCAGTCCGATAACGGCTTCGAAAAACCAAGCTTCGACCCCTCCGCCGCGGTCCCTTTAAAATTCGGTCTGAAGAAGAAGAATAAGCCTACTGCGCCAGCGGCAGTCCCTGTTATTCCCAGTTTCCCCACAGGCTTCGCTGCGCCGATGGGAATAGACTCGCCAACTAATCACGACCGTGACGATGACGACGAGCTCATTAATGAAGATACGCTCCTTTCCGAGGAGGATTTAACAAGACCCATAATGCCGCGTATGTCTACATCCCCTCCCTTCCAACTCTTGTATATCGCATTTCTACAAGATTCATATAATCTAACACCATTTCTTCAGCCCCAGAGTGCCAACCCAAGACCGGCCGCCGGCGACGCGCCTGCAAAGATTGCACATGTGGTCTAGCCGACAAGCTCGAAGCAGAGGATAAGGAGCGCCGCGCAAACGCAGATAAAGAATTGAACGTACTGAAGCTCGATACGGGTGACTTGGCCGAGCTGGACTTCACCGTTGAGGGCAAGACTGGTTCTTGTGGAAGCTGTGCTCTGGGTGATGCCTTCCGTTGTGATGGTTGTCCTTACATGGGTCTTCCTGCCTTTAAGCCTGGACAGGAGGTTCAGATTCTCAATGATGTTGCGCAGTTTTGAGATATGATCTCAACTTTACGACTGTGGGCTACTTTTTTTTCCATCTTGATGACGAAAGTGGGGGTATTTGGTTGCATTAGGTTTTCTTTTTGAGCATTTTCTTTTGGGGTTTCATTTTTTCGGGGTTACATATAAAACTATGCTAGGGGCGTCTGGCTTTAATTTGATCTTTTTTTTCTATATTGGTTTTATATTCTTCCTATATTCTTTTATCTGATTGTGACTCACGTGAAGATTTTGAAATTTTGGGTGGAGCCCAACGTCATGTCTTAGATCAGATAGTGGGATGATCGGCCTAGTACATATACATATGCCGTTGATCTGCCGGCTATAATTAATTTACCATATTTGCTTCTAAAGCATTCTATTGATTGGCTGTACATAAAGCAATTTAAATCCTAATGGCGAGTTGCTTTTTAACTATGCATCTGTGTTCATGGCACATCCAATCATGAAAAAACCGAAAAGAAAGCGATAACGATAACCAAAAGAATATGCATGGTTTACTTGACCTATGACTGATTCTTCTTCATGTGGGCAACACGGATGCTGACGGCACGCTTGTGTGCCTCTAGGCCCTCCACAGCGGCGAGGGTCTCAACTGTCTTGGCGAGACCGAGCAGACCATCAGCGGTCAGGTTAGAGCTGGTGATGTGCTTCAGGAAGGAGCCCAGGTTGACACCCGAGTACTGCTTGGCATAGCCGTAGGTAGCTGGAAAAAAATATGTTAGGAAGACTGAATGAATGAGGGAAATAAAAGGGGAGGCAGTAACAGAGAAACTTACGCAGCGAGTGGTTGACTCCGGCGGAGTAATCGCCAACACTCTCGGGGGTCCAGGCGCCGATGAAAACACTGCCGGCGTTCTGGACATCCTTAACAAGAGACTCCGCGTTTTCGACCTGCAGGATCAGGTGCTCGGGCGCGTAGTCGTTGCTCAGGGTCATGGCCTCATTGATGTCCCGAACGACGAAGGTGACGGAGTGCGCGAGGGAGCCGCGGACGATATCCATGCGAGGCAGGGCCTTGGCCTGGGCATCGACCTCATCTTCGATGGCACGCAGCTCGGCCTCGTTCAGGTCGACGGCGATGAGAATCACCTGAGAGTCGACGCCGTGCTCGGCCTGACTGAGTAGGTCGGATGCGACAAAGGCCGGGACGGCGGTCTTGTCGGCAATCACGAGGACTTCACTGGGACCAGCGGGCATATCGATGCTGACACCTGCGGAGGTATCGTTGGACACGAACATCTTTGCGGCCGTCACGAACTGGTTGCCTGGACCAAGGATCTTGTCGACCTTGGTAATGCTCTCGGTACCGTAGGCCATAGCGGCCACAGCCTGGGCACCACCGGCTAAGACGATGCTCTCAGCGCCGACCTTGTGGGCGACATAGACGATTTCGGGTGAGATGCTGCCGTCGGAACGAGGAGGCGAGGCCAGGACAATCTTGTTGCAGCCTGCCACCATGGCGGGAACACCCAGCATCATGGCGGTAGAGGGTAGCACAGCGGTGCCACCGGGGATGTACAGACCGACACGCTCGATGGGGCGCGAGAAGCGAGAGCAGACCACACCGGGCATGGTCTCCATCTGGAGGGCGTCGTTGCTTCCCTTCTGCGCGGAGTGGAAGCGGTCGATGTTGCCAATGCTGATATCAATTGCCTCCTGGACATCAGGGGACAGCTTCATGAGTTCAGCGGGGAAAGGCGCGTGGATGACGGGGGAGGTGAGTGATGTAGCATTCTCGAACTTGTGGGTGTACTTGAGCACAGCAGCATCGCCACCGTCACGGACATCCTGGATGATCGGCTTCACCAGGTTGACAATGGCCTCATTAGATTTCTGCGAAGGACGCTTGAGGTAATCGGTGACGACCTGGGGAGTAGTAGAGGCAGTGATCACACGCTTCATCTCAATTCGGGTCGTGCGATCCTCGACCGGGGCGGGTGCGGGGGTAGGGGCAGGGGCAGGCTTTGACTCGGGCTTGGCCAGGCCAGCCTTCTCAGCCCAAGGTCCCTTAGCGTCGCCCTTTCTCCGCTTCACCTTCAAGCTCTTGAGGTCAAGGTTCCGCTCGATATCCTCCAGGCTAACACCGGCAGCAGTGCACTTGGTCAGGGCAAAGTACAACAGGTCGGCGGCCTCGAAAGCAATCTCCTCCTTGGTGTCCGCACGGCACAACTCATCAGCCTCCTCCATGATTTTAGCATCGATGAGCTTGGGCTCATTGAACAAACGCGCGGTGTATGAGCCAGCGGGAGCATCCGCCTTGCGGGCGTCCAAAGTCTTTTGGAGACGAGACAGACCGGCAGATGCACCGAAGCAGGTCTCTGTACCAAGGTGGCAGAATCCTAATGAGTCACCATGGTCAGCATACAATCATCATTTATCGATATAGAAAGGTGATTCTTACCACGTCCGATTTGCTTGACAACAAAGACCAAGCAGTCGGCATCACAGTCGAAACCAATGCGAATCAACTCCTGCACATCCCCGCTGGACTGGCCCTTGTACCAAAGACCGCGCTTACGGCTCTGGTAAACACCGGTGCCAGTGCGCAAGGCCTCAACAATGCTCTCATCACTGCTCCAAACAAAGCCCAGACAAGCCCCGCGCTCATCAGTGACTGAAGTCGCATACAAGCCATTGGCCTGGTCGGTAACAGCGGTCGACGCAATAAGCTTAGCAGCAGAGATCTGGCCAGCCACATCCCGCTCGACAGTCAATGCCTGTGAGGGAATGACAGCAATCGCACCCTGCTTTGTGACTTGTGTAATGGAATCCTCCGAGATAGTCTGAGTACCGAAGGCTGTGAAGAGGCGTGGGGAGTCCGAGCTAATCTTCAATTTCTCGGCGGCGGCGGGGACGGTAGAAGGTGCAGTGCAGACACTAGCTTCGCTGCGCTCAGCATTGACGGCAATCCATTTCTGGAAAGTATCCAATTCAGAGTCTGACAGGGCGTTGACAAGCAGGCGGGACGAGGGCACGGATTGTTCTTCGGAGAGAGTGGTCAATTGGTCCAAGTTGATCAGGATCTTGGCGGCACCGGCGTTGAGAATATCGACGAGATCACCGGAGGAGGAGATCTCAGTTGCATCGACGAAGATATCGAGGGCGCGGAAGTTCTGGCGCAGGAATTGCTCTGCCTGGGCGAGACTTGAGACCTTGATCAATACGCGGCCGAAGTAGGCGATCTGCTTGAGCGAAAGTCCGGAGCCGGAGGTGGGGGAGGAGGGGTCGTGGGAGATAAGGAAGGGAGTCGCCATGATGGGCGGATGTAGTAGTAGAGGATAGAAAGATTGAAAAGGAGAATTAAATCCCTTAAATCCCCTAAAAGATAGGACCCTTTGAATTAATGGAAGAAGTTGTGGAGAGCGATGACTCCTTGTGCAACCTTTTTTCCCGGCCCCGCTGAATCATCGATTAGCCGCCGGGGTCGCTCTATCATGCGATTTTGATTAGTGATTCAATTTTGTGATCTATAAAATTGTGATCTTTCTACATTTCTGCATTTCTGCAGTCTATATTGTGATATTTGTTTCATTTATTAGGAACCTGACATTATGTCTGCCTTAACCATGAGCCACCTTAGTTACCAAGTTTCTAGCCCTTCCTCATCATAATCGGCTTCGTTGAAGTGCTAGAAACTGCCACCACTCGGTATAGTACCTCTCTGTCTTGCACCCCAGCACTCCCAAACACTCTCTAGCCACGAAGTCAGCGCGCATTTGATCCAAAATTATTAGTTATTAGGTTGCTCCGAAATGTATATACTGCTTAATCAAGGGTGGCTAGAATGACAAATGGGTGCTTGCTTCCATTGAGCACAAGTGCGATTAATTTAAAGAAGGTTCTGGCCGCTGCGTGGTGGCTAACTGGCTGCCATGCTTGAGATAAAGGTAGCTGGTCATTTCCACAATCTGATCGACATCTGGGGGCGACCTCGTTAGGTCATGCTCTGGCTGTGTTTGAATGTGACCAAGAAGGAATGGTAACATAGAAGCTTTCCATATAAGTGATTTTCGATGAAATTGCGGTTGCAACAAGGATAAGGATTGCCATCATGACATAGGCAATAGGTAATGCAATCCAACCCCAGCGGACATGGATAACAGTGCTCGATTTATATGCATCACCGTCCACATTCGAATTTTTTGCCCCGGGCGTAGACCGAATTGCATCAATCATAGACCTATCCATCTGTGCCATTGTCTTTGTTAGGTTTTTGCTGTTGCATAGAATCAGGGCAGTGTCGATGGAACTAGTTGACTGAATGCCTGTTTTGGTGCTTGAAAATCCAGGCATCAACCCCTCAGGTAACTAACTAGTAACTATGTAGTCGGCAGAGCACCCCTCCATAGAAATCAACTCTCTCCCTCCACACTTCTGGACCCCTACATTGTAGACCCCTCAATAGGTTATGAAGCCCTTGCTCTTCGAGCTTTTCTTATTCATTCTTTTCATCCAAAAGGAAGCAATTTATATCTTATATTCATTTTTTCACCTATACTCGCGCAGATAGAGTCGCGAGATAGGTCTTTTATTAGAGTTCTCGCCCTATATTTCGGGATTGAACCTTCTATCTAATCAAAATCGATTTAATCTATACTATAGTAAATATAGTACTCCTGTAGTACTCCCGCAGTGCTCTTATAGTACTATAATATAATATACTTCGGGGTCTATGTGTTATTCTATATAGCTGCCTAAAGTCTACTTTTCTGACCGGGGTTAGGAAAGTGGTAGTATATTGAGTTGTTATATAAAGCATATATAATATATTAATTATAAAGATTAAAATAAGCTATATCGTAATTTATCCGGTCGTTTATAAGTAAAGAGAAGGGTAAATAATAGTAATTTATTAAATAAATCATCTATTTTATGCAGCTTAATTAGGAAATAATTATATATTTACGGGTAACGCGGGTCGGTAAAGGTAAGTAAGTCTTAGCGGAGTAATACAGGTTGAGGGTCGGCTTTCAATTCCCTCTAAGAGAACCGACCCGCATACGGGTTGGTCATCAATTCCAGTTTAAGGGACTGGTGAGGACGAGGTCTACTTGGTAGTCTCCTAGGCTATCTGGCATGTATGGAGCAATCACCTACAAAATATTTTCTCCTTCGACGAACTTAACCCGGGAACAACTCTGTGCGCTCATATTAGCCCTATTGTTTCGAGCAATGATGAAGTTCCTTCAGAGACTTAACATTGCTAGAAGCATATCGCCCATTTCCTGTTTCCACAAACCATAGGTCTAGTCTAGGCAGCTGTCTATTTCTCATACATGCAGCTACCTACAAGTCTTAATCACCGTGTCACAAACCTCAATAAAGTTCACTACATACCACCAGCAATAGCTAAGATAGTCTACAGTATTAACTTTACGCTGTGGTAGCAAAATGGCAAAGCAGGAAGGTAGAGATAATCCAGGAAGCAACACATCCCATACAAATCCTTATGAGTACTGTTGAGTGGGGCGATGAAAGCCCTCCAAATGCCCACTGGATATGCGTACCTTACTCCATACAGCACCTGATCCTTGAGCCGTCTATCAGAACGGTATATAGCGTGTCCTAGTCGGATTGAGTGCTTGGCTGAAGTGTGCATCCATAGGACTAACTAGTGAATGTCATAAGGCTGGCTACAGGCTCCCAGGATTATTTAAGGACCAGGTAGATCTTTCCAAACTATCATTGAGCCCCATATAGTATGCTGCCAATCTGCGGGGTAACAGACCTATGTATTGATTCAACTAGCTTCTAAGACCTCCGAATGCAAATGCTCGCCTGCACCTTCCATAATTGACGTTTTAGGATCTAGTCATATAGGTGCTAATGACTTGATGAAATATCCAAGTTTGACGGGAAGCCAAAGCCCAAAAGCGCGGCTAAGTCCTCGCATGCCTGTGGGAAGTAAGCCGGGCCTGTGTCACTCCGATGAGAAGGCATCGTAGAAGGCCCAGGCTCATTTGAATTAAAAGATGTGGCATGGCTAGCACGCGACCAGTCCTGCCATCTAGGTCCCGTAATTTGATCCATGTCTTCTTGTCGAGCTGAGCTGAAGAGGTCAAAAGCAGACGAATTCTCCCTCCATGTGTTTTCCCATCGTTTAAACTGCATGAATTCCGAGTCACTGGTAGAATTTCCGCTCTGCGTAGCGTCTAGCTGAGAAATGACTCGTTCAAAAGCCTCTATGAGTGCTGCTTCGGTACGGGCCAGCTCAGAGCAGGCTGCCATCTCTTTTAACATAGTCAAGCCTTCCCTAAGATTGTTCCGAAACCTGCGTCCTTTCTCCTGGAAGCACTGGGTCGTAATAACTAATAGAGCAGCCCTACAGGAGCTGAACTCGGTATAAGACGCGCGTGCTAAGCCAATTGTGTTTCGTAGAAAGCGACATGTCTCGATTACCGAGAGCGCAGCGTCGACACAGTCAGCGATGAAATGAGAGTTTGAGGTGTCAGACTTGGTAGGGAACGAGGGAGGACTTGACTCCTCCCTCTCAGTTGGGCTCGGGTATTGCTGTTTGGAAAATTTGTCTGGAAAGATGAAGAATCGTCCAATGAACATGCGCGTGAGGCAATATTCGAGTTTGAGGTGTGAGCTGGGTCGGATGTAGAAGGATAACGAGGCGCTTTCTGGTCGGATTAAGATACTCGGCAGACTTTCCCACCATATTACAAGCTCGCTTTGGAACTGACTCAACCGGTCCACGCTTCGCTGAAGTTCAACTTTACCAGACAATGTCCCAAGCAATGATCTTCCATTTGGGAGTCAGCGATCAGGCGGAAGTTGACAGACGAGAGAAGAACATACATTTCACGGCCCATTAGATTCAGCATTTCATTCAAATGTAGAGTGGCGTCAAGGCATGCGAAAGATGAAGTTGTCGAAGTCCATATATCGCAGCAATCAACAGGAAAGTCTGTATCTATCTCGGATCTGGATATTGAGGCTGGCCGACCGTGAAATATGCCAATACGTCTGCTGCAAGTTAGCAAATATCTTTGAATCTAACAGAGATGTAGGTGAAAAGATGGATGGTAATGGAACAGTGTACTAGCCTTTCAATAATGTAGACAGACCACCAAATCCGGTTTCTCATCTCCTTAGTTTGCGGATCAAAGCAATCTTCGGAACATTTTCTGTGCATGCCATTCATAACTGCAAGCTTGACAGCAAGTCCGAGATAGGTCCAAGCTAATCCAGATGCATCAAAAGGCAAAGTGAATACACCCAGAATCAAGCAGGCTTGGACGCTTTCTAGGGATGCTATCGTGATGACATTGGGCAATACGCGACAAGCTTGATGATAAAATGCCAGACTGGCAGTTTCCCCTGTGAACGGTCCTGGGTTTGCCTGGTTATTTGTCGAAATTCCCTCGGTGTCATCGTTCGTTGCTTCCAAGTGAGCATAGTGCGTTCCGATGGCAAAGATACCAAAAATCATGCACATTGTACCGGCGTCACTTCGGCCAAGGGATGCAGGGGTTGAGTAGGCAATCTCAACCTTAGCTAAAAGCCAATCCCGGTCAACGTAAAAGTAATTCGTCACTGCATGTTTGAAAAAGCAGTGTATAAGGAAAGCAGCAATGAACCGAGGAGGCAGGGAGGAGACTGCAGCCATTGTGCTAGAAAGGCATTGCAAGTCTTTGGAGCGATAAAACTCAGACAGGCCTGTCATTGAGCTTCGAGCCTGCTGTCATGTATTAATTAAATAAATCCAACACATCATGCCGGGGGGACACTTTTGGGACGCACATCCTGGGAGATGTTTTGCTCAATCCATTTTTTTATATGCATGGAGAAGTTCCAATGAGAAAACTCTCCAGAGAAGTCTACATCACTGATTAGCTTACCGATCATACAAGGGCTTGCAAGGGTTGTACGGAAAGTCTCACGGGCGACGGTATTTTCCACTGATTGAGCGCAGCATTTTTCATCGACGGCAACAATCTGTTGGTCCGGTGTAGCATTCCTGGCTGGACTGATCGATTCGTTTTGTTTATCCACTTGTTCAGATAAGGACTGGAGAGTGTTCAAATCCAGATTCATGGGACCAAGTTTGTGTTGAACGATCTTTTCCAGATAGAGAACCCTCTGCGAGAGGACGGAGGGCTCTTGGTCCTTATTCGTACATAGGGTAGGAGGCCGAATATCGCCCTGAAGCGGTGGTGATTGAGCTCTCGAGAAGGCTATTGCATCCGCCATTTCATTGGCAGGACTCAATTCGGCTGAGCGCCGACTGTTAGGCCGTTTTGATAGTTTGCATTCGCGATTTAACCGCGAGCACCTTAGACAGGGTATCCCCCCTCCACACTTCTCTTTTGTTGGCGACACGTATCACATCTGAGAAACATTAGACATGCTCACTGGCAAACATGAACAATACATACGCGAGAGCAACGCGCTTCCGGTCTTTGTCTGCGACGCGGCGGTGTCTAATCCTACGGGTCCCTTTGGAGCTCATATTTGGTATATTCCCAGAACCGATCTAAACGACAAGGCGGTACGTAGCTAACAATATCAGATAGAACCTTGTATCAATAACGAAGTTTGAGGAGTAGATTTAGCATTAACTAAGCTGGTCTCTACCTAGGTAGTCAGGTTCCCCGCCCCGGGGAGCCCTGAAAGGCCCCGGGGTTGATAATTAATCAACATGGTTCCGACCTTTCATTGGCTGCCTATAGGTGGGACCCATCTGGGCACAAGGCTTCCGCGCTCTTTGCTTTGACACAAAACATTGTGTTAAGATCTACAAGCTAGTAGACGAGATCATAAATCTAGGTGTATGACCATGTACGGTAAAAATGGCAGATGTGGATGACTCTAACTAAAATGACAAAACCCGCTCTTTCAACAATCTGCGTATGAGATGACTAAACGATAAATACACTTTTGTATGGTATGATACCCGGTTTAGTTACAATATGTTGTATTGTGGGTCGTATGTTGTGCAGACTATGGAGGAAAGAGAGATCCATAGTAGGCTAACTAGTAATACTATGGAGCAAGAGATCATGTGACCCATGAGAGATTCAAACACATTGGTAGCAAGAGTCCGGAAAAGTGCGTGCGGTACACCGAAGTACTCCAGTGATTGCGTTGGAAGAATGTGCCTGAAGAGTCTTGGGCGCTGACGCTGTTACCGGCGGATAGACTTGAATTGTATCCGGTCGATAGCCCCCGCCTTATCAAGCGCAAGCTTGTGCTTTGAACCTCTTAGGGGTCCTGGCGCACCACTCTACGTCATAAATTATTAAAGCAACAGATATCCAGATGAATGCTTATTCGTTTGAGTTTCAGTTTCTGCTAGTTGACAATCTGAGCCTTGTAGAAATGAGTAAGACTATCTCGATTTCCGGACTTCTAGGATGCAGCCATGGGGACGCCCATTAATATCTTAAATATCTGACAGAAATCTGGTTGGACGACAAAGTATGGTATGCATGAAAGATGTATGACTCTAACCAGCTGAAATGAGAAAAAAATCCGCTATTTTTTCAGTGCAGACAAGCTTGCGAGCATGTTAATCTGCGGTTTGAGGATTTTTCGGGTTTCAATACCCTGTATGCGAAGGGGCAGAGCGGCCAAAGGTCAAATGCCTGATTTTGCAAAGTTGTTGCCTTCATATGTCTAAATTCTGCCTTATTTTAGACTGTTAGAAATATGATAGAGGGCTTAATAAGCAAAGTATCCAAGTTCAAAAGAATGAAGCTGTTGCGATCGACCAAATCACTGTTGAAAACACGAAGCTATTCCTGCCATACAAACACTAGAACTCCCTTTTTTTCTCGGCATTGAAGCCTTTTCACTATATAACCGTCCCCCCTCTTCTCGTATGGTCGGATTGTTAAACGGAATGGGATCCCTCTCACACGAATTAAAACTTTTAAACCGAAAAGCATTCAAATAGCTTCGGAGTAGCCGGTTTACTACTATTCAAACCTAACCGAGTGATTTAAAACTTAACTTATATCTAGCTTCGAACACCTACCCCCTAAGCTAGGGTAGTGAATTATGCCGGAATTTCACCCTAAAAACTCCATGTATAGAGAAAGAACTAAGTCAATAAGTTTTGTTAATCAAAGCTTTGCTTCTTATAAGATCTCGAAGTCCACTAGTCCGTTAGATCTTGTATTAAACTAGCTTATAAAAGGCTTCCGTCTTACAAGATAAGGTGGTATCTTACTCGTGGAAGAAAATAAGGAATTACGGGCAGGAAACGAGAAGAAGAAGAAGAAGAAGAAGAAGAAGAAGTAGAAGTAGAAGTAGAAGTAGAAGTAGTAGTAAAAGCGAGCGGGATCCCGGAAGTAGATACATGCCGAAGAAGGACTCTTACTCAGTAACGTATTTCACCGAGTGGATCAAACCCCTATATTTTAGAATACGGTCAACACCAACGGGTGACCCTACAAAAACAGGCATTTTTTTGACCTCTAGCCGCTCTGCCCCTCCGCACCCTGTATTTCCACCTGGTTTCAACCATGGTATTCAACAAAATGTTTCATGAATTAATGAAATATGTCTTTTGATTCAGGGAGAACACGAAGCTTCCAGGCTTCGCGTAGGCAGTGGTTGAGAAATGCTCCTACAAATTTGCGCTATTCGTCCATACTGAGCTGAATGAGTCCTTCATGGGGTTGCTCTTAGACTCATTTCTTTGTGTGGTGGTTTGAAATGGCCCTGGCAATCCTGTCTGTTGAAATGAAACCCCATCAAGCACCATGGCAGCTAGGCCTTTGCTAGAAAGGAGAATCTTAGGCATTCCATATCCTGTAAATCCAGCAATAATAAAATGACCAGACCTCCCTGGTACTTTGCCAACATGGGGCATAAAGTCAAAGCTGTAGCCTAAGACTGGATTGGAGTTATCATTATAATTATGCATGCAAAGATACTGCTTGGTTTTAACTTACTTCCTGTCCAGATGCTCTCGGTTTTCATTTGGCTTCCCTCCCATCCTCGAAAATGGCGTTGCATATAGCCAGAGAAATACGGAACTGCCTCTTCAATTATTTCATTGTCTTGAACGTTGTCAAACCATTGATGCTTATGGTGCCAGAAAGCTTGTCTAGCCCCGCCAACAATGATACTTCCATCTGCACGAGGAATCAGGTAATCGTTGTTCACTTTGTCGAATCGAATTCCATATGTGTTGACCAAATGAGGCGTGTTGGTGCCTTGGGGACTTTCAATGTGACAGCAGATCCCTCGAACTGGTGTGATGGCATTCGTGTACTCTGGCAAAATTGATGATGCATAAGCATTGGTCGCATGCACCACCTTTGTTGCTAGAATACTTCCACGCGGAGTAATGACTGAATGCGGATACTTTTTATCTTGAGTAGGTGATACCGATGAGACGGCTGTGTGAGCCTGGAGGTTCAGTCCTTGATTGACTAGCTTTCCAAGTAGCTGGTGTACAAGCTTGGATGGCCAGAGATGAGCTGCAGTATAAGACACACAGCATTTCGCGTTTTTGACTCCGGATATCTTTGCATCATATATGATATTAGCCACAGAAACTCCATACAGCTCATATGGCCGAAGGCAACCGGTACTCACCCGTTCCGCATCTTTCCCTGAAGTCACGGTGACGTCGCGTACATTGATAGTGCCAAGTTTGTAAAGTGATTTGTATGTGGATTGAACTTCATTTGCGTGGGCTTCATCCAAATAAACGTCAAGCGCTCGGGTCATGTGAAAGTCGCAGTCTAGGTTTTCTGTCTCAACCAGTTCCTTGACAGCGTGAACATGCGACGCTTCGAACTCAGCCAGTTGGGAAGCTGCTTCTAAGCCAAAAAGCTTTGCATACTTAGGTATGTCGGAGTATGTGTCAGGCTTCACATGCCCACCATTGCGGCCGGTCGCACCAGAGCAGATCTGTCTTGCTTCAAGCAGCAGGATAGAAGGAGGGTCAGGATTGTCCTTCAGAATGAAGTAGGCCGTAGCAACTCCGGACAGCCCCGCCCCAATGATAACAATGTCAGCCGTAGGGGGAAGTTCAGGGGTACTTTGATAGTCATCAAGGCTCTTGGGATCCGCGTTCCAGAATGATTGCACGGGGTTTGAGGCTGGGCGACGCGATCCTTTGGAAGTGGCCATGACGGCTAATTTCAAAATCTCCAGAGAAAACTGAAGGTGAATTATGAGAGAAAATCGAGGAGTACATTGGCGGACATAGTCTCGCATATATATAGTCCTCAAGCGGGGGGGATCTTAGAAAGGGCGCTACACATGAGACTTTGCAATTGAAACAACGTTCAGGTGCATCTACCCGAGTGAATCACAGTCCCGGACTCTGATATGGCAACACACAAGCTAGAACTTGCGATATTAAGAAAGTATTGTTCATAGTCGGAAAAAGGCCGAGCGAATCTTTGCACGACCGGATAAGCGACCATAGCCCGGATGAATGTCCACCATATCCCAGATAATACACAAAGTTGGTCTCCCACTTTCGGATAACTTGACCAGTTCTGGTAAAATAATAGCAGAAACAAGATAAAAAGATAAAGAATGTCATTTTCCAAGGCAAGTTTGTCACGTCCCAACGCTGACCGGGTTAAATGCGAGATCGGGAAACAGGGCGAAAGGAGGGATGCGAAGGCCTGATTATGTTGAACCCCGGATTTGCTCTCATCTTAAAGAGCGTTCAGTTCCCCCTCTCGAGTCATATTTATTTTACTATACACCCTCAATCCTTGAGTCTCACCAGTTGTACAAGCATAACACCGATATTGTGAGATCATCTCAGTCTCCTTGCCAACTTGAAAAGACAAACTATGGCTTCTCTTTCGGACTATCGCCTTCTTTCTTTTGATGTGTACGGTACACTCATCGACTGGGAGACTGGAACATTGAATGGCTTCAAGCCTCTGATGGAAGCTAGTGGGATCCACCCCACTCGAAGCCAAATTCTCGACGCTTACTATGAATGCGAACGGGTCCAACAAAGCATGACCCCGAAGATGAAATATGCTGATCTAGTCGCTACCATCTATCCGCAAATGGCAGCACGCCTTGGGCTTCCCGAACCGACCCTGGAGCAGAGTACTGCATTTGGAAAGTCTGTGCGAAACTGGCCTGCCTTTCCTGATACCATCGACGCTCTTAAGCGGTTGAAGAATCATTTCAAGCTTGTTTGCCTGTCAAATGTCGACATTGATTCTTTCAAAGGCTCTAATGCAGGCTCCCTTGAGGGCTTCCCTTTTGACCTTGTGATCACCGCCGAGGAAGTTGGAAGCTACAAGCCGGACCCTCGCAACTTCGAATATATGTTGCGCGAGGCTGAAGAGAAATTCAATATCCCCAAAGAGCAGGTGATTCAAACTGCTCAGAGTCAGTTCCATGACCATCATGCGGCGAGAGAATTGGGCATTCGGTCCAGTTGGATTGTCAGACCTGGATCCATTATGGGCAACCTGGACGAGCATATATACGATTGGAAGTTTGACACTTTGGGGGATATGGCGGACGCAGTTGAGAGGGGACATCTTTCACTGTAGTAATCAAAGGTGTTGAGGGGTCTCTACAATGTAGGGGCCCAGAAGTGTGGAAGGAGAGAGTTGATTTCTATGGAGGGGTGCTCTGCCGACTACATAGTTACTACCCTGGTTACTAGTTACCTGAGGGGTTGGTGCCTGGATTCTCACGCACCATAACACACCCCCCCAGGTATAAGCCCGAATCCCAATTAACCGAATATCAATCTCTTGAATTTTGATTTATATAGTAAATTTCCGTCCTTTTGTAGGTTTTAAAACCTCTTCTTTTTCGTCATTTTTCGTCGTTTTTCTATAAGTAGTAGTTAGATCTTCCTTCGTAAGTGGTAAACTACTCTCTCAATTGATTTCTCTTCTTTAATCTACTTGTAACTGATAAAGATCCTTACAACATGAAAACAGAATTGTCGCTTAACCTGGCTGGGCCACGAGAGTGGAGCACCACTGATTCGTTGTTGACCCCATGTGATCAAAGCGGGCTATAGTGATAGATAACACATGTCTCCCCTGGATCCTGTTTCTCACTGACAAGAGTTAGTCTTGACACATTGAAGACAATACAATCTGTTCCTCTCTCCTACCATCGTATCTTACCCGGTTGACAGGCCGTACACCTGAAAACAGTATACCTTTACATATAGGCCTTTTTAGTAAAATTTGTATACCTCGTGACTTGTATTATTTATACTAATAATTCCCGATTTTTAATAAGATAGATATATAAATATATATAGTATAATTTACTATTTAACTAATTTTTATATATATTTAAGACAACGTTATATAACGGTGGGCGTAGGTCGCGTGCCCACCATTGGGGTGCCCATGGGCCTTGGGCCCTTTCTAGGGGCCCATGGACGGGCGATGTTGCAGTCTACTAATGAGGGGTGGTGAGGTCAGGTGACGTTACCCCTTGGTGACACGATCCTTACGATCCTTGTTAATAGAATGATTTTCGATTTTGCTCTGCGTTTGCAATTGGTTTGCTAATCACCCGGCTATAAAAAACGAAAGTGCGTATCGCCTGTCGATAAATCTCACATCATTCTAACCAAGCATCCACGGCAGACTTGATCGCCTCCTTCAGCCACGGCTCATCGTAGGAAGTGGCTGCATCGAACCCATGCTCTCCGTCTCGCACTGTGAGAATAATTTTCTCGTTCTCAGGAAGGCCTTTCGTGACTTCTTTTGCGCGAGCAACGAATTTCTCAACGTCACCAAGAGGAACCACACTATCCTGACGACCATGAATTACAGCAATGCCACCCTGCGGTATATTGAAACCAGGCTGCTCCAGTCGCATCATAGGATAGAGTACCTCGCGTGGGACGCCCTTCGATCCACGTTCGTACATGTCAGTAATAGCCCCATGCTGAACGGCAGCAAGCATGAAGCTCAAGCTATCAGGCGTACTGATTGAAGATTTGGGAGTATCCAAAGCGGCGGCTTTCATGTTTTCCTGGACTACATGTTCCGGGACGGGATGGTTAAATGGGGGCTCCGCGCGAGGCGAGCTGAATGCTTCTGAGCGGGGATCCACGAAAGGATATGCCACAGCTGCAGAGCGAATATCCGTTGGGTGGGCCAATGAGAGGTAAATACCGATGAGGCCACCAGCGGATTCACCAGAGATAAGTATACGGTTCAGGTCGACAGTGGTCGGCGTTGGCTGATTCGCCAACAAATTTAGAAATTCCGCTGAGTGCAGCCAGATCCAGAAATCTTCAATATCGGTATAGATATCGGCGCCAGTGGCTTCTGGGAGGAGGCGGTAGTTAGGGCTCACGATGACAGCTTCTTTCTGCAGGGCTAGATCAGAGATCCATTGTGGCCACCAGTCCATGAAGAACGAGTCGCCCATCATCTACATTGTTTGTCAGGATCATATACTTCCCATAACAGGGGTACCACTCACCAAGCCACCGCCATGGATTCGAACAATAAGTGGTCTTGGACCGACATAAGTGGTTCTCGGGGTCAAAATATCAACTCGGATACCGTGGTCGCCGATATGTTTGTAGTCGTGCTGGACGATCTCAAAGCCGTCAAGTTTTTTGTTTGAAGGGATGGACATTATGGCGGTTGGCAATGCTGTATCGAATAAATATTTTTTATGAATTTCAGTGGCAAAGAGGGCATTCAAGGTTTTTGTAGATGACTGTGTTGGGGCCAAAATTCGGGCTCGGGCTAACAGCGCCTACTTCCTTCGTCTTCGAAAGACCCCAGGATGTCAGCTTCGGGGCCCACGGAGACTTTTCGGAGATTTGTTGATAAGCGCATCACGCCGATGAAGGCTGAATGCTCCAGCTTACCAATGCAAGCTCCACTCACGGTACCTGCACAAGGTACGACAATATAGCGGTTAAAATAACATATATAAAATTCTCTAACTCAATTAACAAATTCCGCTCCTTTCCCAATCTATACGGACATAGCTGATTAAGCAATGTATGTGTTTTTATGTGGTACCGTTATCATGACAGTCTATTGATTTTCCAGTTTGTAAAGACTTGGTTATTTCCATCATGTATAAATGTATGGCACCTACAGTGATGTGTCTCCCTCCGGCGAAGAAGGCCTTTACCACCTTTACAACCAAGAACTAGGGCTTTGCCAGCATGCGAGCTATATAAAAACTAGGGTCATAAAAGAAATACATATCCAGAAAATAGATCATTTTAGTGTATCTAATTTAATGGAGTTTTGGTTGAGATATATGCGTTTTAAAACTATAAAATGGAGTGGGGTGGCCAGCTGGCGTATCGAATACTACGCGTTATTTTAGACTAGTCGAAATTAAAATACCTGAATTATTATGACAGGGTTCTTAAAAAAGCAAAGTAAATTCTCGAGGTCAGGGTTGGGAATAGCTTCAATTCTGATATGCTTCAATTTACAGTATACACGGTAACTAGTTATAGAGCGGCGTCAAAAGCGGTCTATAATTCAGGCAAATTAAGGCATCAAGCCAAAAACGCCATGCATTTGCCCTTTGGTCACTCTACCCCTTCGCAAGCAAGCACCTTCTAACGTCAATGCTACTCTAATATCAATATGCCATTCCCACCCACCCCCACAGGTGAGAGCAGCTCCCACTCTGGCAATTGTCATTGCGGTGCTGTGCGGTTCACCTTCACGATATCCCCACCCCTACACGAGTATCCCACCAACAGCTGCAACTGCTCCATCTGCACAAAGAACGGTTACTTGCTTGTGTACCCGTTCACCAAGGATTTCACCATCGAAAGAGGGGAGGACGTCTTAAAAGATTATCGCTTTGTCGAGGGCAAGGTGAAGCATCAATTTTGCAGGGAGTGCGGAAGTAGTTGCTTCATCCGTCCTCCAGAACATGGACCTCCACAGATCATTGCCGTCAATGTAAGTTGAATGGCCGATGTTATAACGCAGTTACTAATTTTATTAGGTCCGACTACTACAAGACGTTGATATTGAGAAACTGATTCTCAACAAGGTTGATGGAAAGTCGGTTGGAAAAGAGTACAAAATTAGATCAGTTCTTTGATCCTGTGATATTACGATTCGGCTAAATTGATGACTTCACATGGAACTGCCTATCTATGTAGGTAGTGTAGAAAGGGCGACCGATGCAGGTGATGTATAGAGCACATACTACGACTAAATTGTACCCATGTAAGAGCAGTTCGAAACACCAACTTACGCCTTGGCGATTTCTCATATGGATGCCGGATTATAGAAGGGGGCGCACATGTTGTATTCTAAACGGATACTTCCGAACTACAAAGTACTTGAGACAAGTGGTTGAAGTTCAAATGCCCAATGCGTCGGCACGGGCCTGTTCACCATCGGCATAAATGGCCCTCGGTTGGACATCAACCAAGTCCATAGGGATCTCGAAATTTGTAGGCGTTGACTTTGATGTTTTGACAGGGTCAGACACTCTAGTCTTGTGACAAAACCCCATCCCATTTGAGGGGTATGTTGCATGTCAAAGCACTCGGCGTGACAGCATGTGGCTTTCATCAGCCAAGACTGTGCTAGTCAGGTACATCCTGGTACCTGGATATGAGGCATCCGAAGACGGGCATCATATTTTCTCGTCATGTCAAGTGGTCTTCTGGCGTGGTCACTTGTATGCTTAATAGTCTCCGGGGAAATCCGAGCCAAAGGATGTCTAGAATACGAAATCTTGCTCGGTATATTCAACAAGATCCCAAATATGTGAAAACTGAGACCAAAGATACTTCGGCCACTTGCATTCTCCGATGCGCGCCAATAATTGGCAGAGCCCTTGCAGATCACCAAGGGCCCCTGAATCTTGTCCGATTGGACACTTTTCTTTTTACAGGAATGACAACGTAAAATGTACAAGACCCGATTTTATGAAGATCGGAATGCAAGTGACATGGAGAAATAGTAAACAAGTCGAGAGGTCGCGTGTGTGCCCGCGTGCCTTCCCCTTTCGCCCTCTTTCTTGTCGACTGCAACCTCACTGTATCCTCATTCCACAATCCCATTATATTTAAGGAATTGCATTGACCTGCTGCATCGCAGTTCAGGTGGTCCCTCGTTCGCAATTGATATTATTCCTACGGGTGCTCCTTGCACTAAGCGATCGTGCCTAAATAAACCCGTATATCTATATCCAACCATATTCAGAGCGTAATCATGCGCATCTCTTCTCTATCATTTCCTTTGGTGCTGGGTCTCGTTGGGTCTTCTGCGGCCTATCCTCACCCTGAGTCAGAAGCGATCTTGCGTCGTGAGTCAGAGAACCAGGCCAAGGCCGATGCTGTCAAGGAAGCGTTCCAACATGCATGGAATGGATATGTTGAGCATGCCTTCCCTCATGATGAGTTACACCCCGTGAGCAATGGCTATGGTGACTCTAGGTGAGCATGCCCGATTACACAGTTCGTACTGTGAACTCACTCGCGATAGGAATGGATGGGGAGCCTCCGCTGTCGATGCGCTTTCAACCGCCATTGTCATGGGTAATAAGGAAGCTGTTCAAAAGATCCTGGACCACATTGAAACCATTGACTTCTCGAAGACTGAGGACGAGGTCAGCCTATTTGAGACGACTATCCGATATCTGGCTGGCATGTTGTCCGGGTATGATTTGCTCAAGGATCCTGCAACGAGGAATCTTGCCCCCAAATCAACTCAAGTCGATGCCCTGCTTACCCAGTCCAAGAAACTTGGCGATGTCTTGAAATTTGCCTTTGATACACCATCCGGTGTTCCCTACAATAACGTTAACATTACTTCCAAGGGAAATGATGGCTCGAGAACCAATGGTCTTGCAGTAACTGGAACTCTGGTGCTAGAGTGGACCCGATTGTCCGACTTGACTGGTGATGATGAGTATGCCAGGATAAGCCAGAAGGCTCAGTCATACCTTTTGAACCCTCAGCCTTCAAGCGGAGAGCCATTCCCCGGCCTGGTGGGAAGCAACATCAACATCTCCAACGGCCATTTCACCGACGGCGCTGTCTCTTGGAACGGTGGTGATGACTCGTTCTACGAGTACCTGATTAAAATGTTTGTGTATGATCCCAAGCGGTTCGCATCATACAAGGACCGCTGGGTCCTCGCAGCCGAGTCAACAATCAAACACCTCCAATCGCATCCCGCCCCTCGCCCGGAAGTGACATGGCTGGCCTCATACTACAACGGCCAATATGATCTCAGCTCTCAGCACTTGACATGCTTCGATGGCGGTAGTTTCATCCTGGGCGGCACTGTCCTGGATCGGCCAGACTTTGTAGATTTCGGCCTCAAGCTCGTGGATGGTTGCGAGGCTACTTACAACCAGACCCTGACCGGCATCGGACCAGACTCGTGGGGCTGGGACCCAAAGAAAGTGCCATCCGACCAAAAGGATTTCTACGAGAAGGCCGGATTCTATATGAACAACGGCGCATATAACTTGCGCCCTGAAGTGATTGAGAGTTTCTACTACGCTTACCGCGTCACGGGAAATGAACTCGTGAGTTATTCTTCTTTCTACTGATATTCCAAACATACTGACCCATATATAGTACCGCGACTGGGTGTGGAACGGTTTCAAGGCAATCAATGCTACCTGCCGCACTGGCTCAGGCTTTGCTGCTGTAAGCAATGTGAATGCCCCTGGCGGTGGCTCGAAGTACGATAATGAGGAGAGCTTCCTATTTGCCGAAGTCATGAAATACGCGTACCTTGTACATGCAGAGGGTAAGTTACTAGTGTTTCCAGTTATCTTTCTCTTTTCTCAAAACATTGCTAATGCTGAGGTTTGGCATAGATGCCCCATGGCAAGTTCAGAAGGGCCAAAAGAATGCCTACGTGTTCAACACCGAGGCTCACCCCATGCGCGTGTCGCACACCTAGTTTATATGATAGTTGGGCTATCACTACAGTATATAGTGCATGCATCGAGCCTATATTACCCTTTGTCATTATATTTCATCTTGTAATAATGTCGAATATTCCAGCTTCGGTTACGGTCGGATCCCGGATCACGCTAGTTGCCGTAAATCTGTGATCCTCATGTGGCCCCCCTTGACGAGTCAGGTTCTGACTTCGTGTTGAATTGGCCTTCCGTCTTTCAGACCAGCTTCTGTTCTTCATTGTGGTCCAGCCGCAAACATGTAGGGCGTAGATGGACGTAAGGCATAATGCTTCCAAAAGGATTAACATAAGCGTATCACTGGGATTCCGTTGGGTTTCCTCTCGATCTGATACTCGATCTGACCCACCAGACCCACAGGGCGTGCACTCCACGCCCTGCAGATTCACGAAACCTATAGAAGAGCATCTTTATAATTATCCTTAGGATAACCCTTGATTTCTATCTACTTTCCAGATCTTGCAGTGTTTGCCTATTTGCATTTATCACGCTGTTTTCACAATGCCCTCCATCACTACTTCTCTCGTCACTAAATCGGTGCCGCGTCTTCGTGTACATATAATTGGCCTCGGAAGTATCGGATCATTTGCTGCACATGCTGTGTCTGAAATTCCAAATGGACCTTTGGTGACTCTCCTTTTGCATCAGAGATCTTCTCCGAACCTACCGCTAGTATGGAAATCAAATACGATTCGAGTCCACAGACAGAAAACATCATATTTCACGTGGATAGGACTTGGAAACATTCTACAACGACCAATAGCATCTGACCACACCCCAGACCAAGAATTCAACTGTTACAGAGGAAATTGAACGTCTAATTGTCTGCGTCAAAACAACGCAGGCTGTATCCGCCCTACGCCCACTCGTCCCCTGCTTAAGCCATGCTTCCAACATTCTCTTTCTTCAAAACGGATCTGGGATGATTGAGGAGGTCAACAAGCATCTGTTCCCAGATCCCTTGTCCAGACCAAACTATTTGATTGGTGTTATCTCTCACGGAGTGACACTCAATTCCCCATTCAACATCACCCGGGTCTTCGGCGACTTCAATAGGACCTGTTCCACCAAACCCATCAGTCATCAATGAAATACCAGGTTCGCAGTCCGCCTATCTTCGTCAAACTTTGCCCAATTCCCCAACCCTGAACTTGACCTCGTATTCCTACCCTGGTATTCTCCCAGATTCAACTCGAGAAACTAGCTGTTAATGCTTTCTGCAACCTAATCTGTGCCTTAAATGACGCCCAGAATAAATTCTTGTTCACTGTACCGGAAATGCGGCGAGCAATCCTGACTGAGATCTCAGAGATTGTCCTCTCCCTACCCAAGTTGAAAGACGTACCAGGATTGAAAGAAAGGTTCTCGGTGGGCCGATTGGAGCAGACGGTCCATGGAATCATTGAAAATACGGCGAACACCACTTGCTCCATGGTCTGGGGTCTCAGATCAGAACGAGAAACTGAAATTTATTTTATCAACGGGAGCTGGAGTCGGATGGATCGGATGCTTGGTGTTAGGACACCGGTTAATGATGAGCTTGTTGAGAAGATCTTGGAGAGAACCGAGCTCAGGACAGATTTGAACAATCCTATACATTCACCGAGCTAACATTTTATGTACAACTTGCCTAGACAATATTAATTGTTTCTTAGTTTGAAGGCTGAAGGTTTCTCTAATCTGGTAATGACATCCGAAATCTACGGAGCGAGCCGGATGGGTAACTTGTACCTATTTGAACCGAGTAATTAATACTTGAGCGGACGCCATATGGCTGACTTGCCGACTTGCCAGAAGAGATTAGTTACCGTCGGACATTTTTTATTGATTCTAGAGCTGTTCAAGAATACGTTCCTTGTCAATTAAGTGGGAAATAAGCACAACCAAGTACAATCGGCAAATAGTCTTAACTAGCGTGGAATTGCGCCATTTACAGATTCGGTGACACAATAAGCCGCTACAAACACATTTAATCAAACATGCGATAAAATATGAACATCCCCATAGAATAGGTCATCAATGCACACAGTTCAGAGAAAATGATGTTATCCACGAACTGTATCACGAAAACGCTAAGTTTTTAGATGTCAGGGAAGGGCAAGCTTCATTATCCGCTATATATAAGATGGATATGCAGCCCTCTTGTAACACAGGAAATAATAGAATCCCGAAAATTGACACCAATAAAGCTACATAATACCAAAAAACCATGGCTTCTCTAAAGCAAACCATCCTAGCAGCCCTAGCAACAACATCCTCACTAAGCAGCAACGGCCACTATCGTTCACGACCCGACCTCGCCCCACCTCAACTAAACATCACCATCCCCCATGCGAACCCTAATGGCCCCGAATACGTCTTCATCGCCCCGTATTCCTTCGGCGGGACACTCGAACGGCCCGGTCCATACATCTACCGCAAGGACGGCGACTTAGTGTGGGCCGGCACAGGATATTACGCCGGGTTCGTGGCTAATTTCCATGCCACTACATACCAAGGGAAATCTGTTCTTCAGGCATTCCAGGGTACTATTGATGGGGGTCACGGTGAAGGGTTTGGACAGCATGTCCTGCTCGATCAGAGTTATCAGCATGTTGTCACGTCGACTGCTGCAAATCATCGTGTTTCGTCGATTCATGAGTTTAATGTTATCGGCGGAGAGACGGCTTTGATTGAGGTATTTTATACGATTCCGGCAAATTTATCGGCTTATGGGGGAAATTCTTCGCAGCAGTGGTTGGGGAATGGGATTTTTCAAGGTTTGTTGGATGTGAAAATCGGATGATGAGTTTGCTGACTCTGATTACTTGATAGAAAATAATATTGCCACGGGAGAGTTGATCTTTGAGTGGAATGCTTTGGAACACGTTGACCCGTCTGGTGAGATAATTTTCCAAGACTTGCAAAAGTCCATATCTAACCTCCAAATAGAAAGCCTCGTGACCCTAGGTTCCACGGATGCCAATAGCGGATTGTCTTCTGCCCAGGCATGGGATTACTTCCACATTAACAGCATCGACAAAAACGAAGACGGAGACTACTTGCTCTCGTCCCGACACACGAGCACGATCTTCAAAATCAACGGCACAGACGGCTCAATCATCTGGCGGCTCGGCGGCAAGTACCCTAGCTTTTCACAAACCGGCAACTGGACCTTTGGTTTCCAACATCATGCCCGTTGGCATCCACAGCTCAGCCAGCCTGGAACTGAGGTGATCTCATTCTTCGACAACTCCGGCGACGCCACTATCACGTACAACGATGTCTCCCGGGCATTAGTTGTCCAGTTAAACCACACAGATAGCACAGCGACAGTTCTCCGAAAGGCAACAGCACCGTATGACCTCCAGGCACAATCCCAAGGAAATACGCAGCTGCTTTCTGACGACCGAATCTTTGTCAACTGGGGATCGGAGGGTGCGTTCACCGAATTTGGTGCTGATAATGAGATTCTGTACCATGCTTTTATCCAGTCGGGGTCGGTCAGCTACCGTGGTTTCTTGTCGAACTGGACAGGTACACCAAAGGAAATTCCGGCACTGGTTGTGCTGAAAACAGCGTCTACTATTGTTGAGCTTTATGTTTCTTGGAATGGAGATACTGAGACATCCGCTTGGAGATTCTTTTATGTCAACGGAAAGGAGAAGACACAGGTTGGTCAAGTGGATAGGGATTCGTTCGAGACAGCTTTTACTTGGAAGTCGACCTTTGAATTGTCCTCTTCTGCTAGATTTGTTGCTGAAGCTGTTGGCGCCAATGGGGAATCTCTTGCACAGACGAGTTTGACTGCTACCATTGCCAATATCAAGTTGTTGGAGTGATAGGCAAGATTGGGGAGTTTGAGATGAAGACGAATATGAGACTATGCTACGTTTGATCATGATTACTGGGACTTCCTGGAGATGGAGTAGGATCTAACTGTGAGAGTCATATCAAGGATACATCTTTCGTATACCGTATTAAACATTAAATGAAGGACATCATAACAGCACAGATTACACATTATACATTAAACATTAAACCTCACCCAGCATCAAACCCCAAATAAACCATGCGGCTACTTCAAGGGGTAGCGCATGTAGTAACATCCGCTAGTAGCCATCACGCCTCAAGAGTCTGCTTATTGTCCAGCTGCTTTCCAGCCTTCCGCAGCCTATGGCAGGCAATAGAGGCGCGCACACAAAGGATGAGGTTAAAAAGGCTAAATGACCATTTTTCGTCAGATATAAAAACGCAAAGAAAAGAGGGATGATAAACTTACATTCCAATAAGTATCATAGAACACCCCAAACACTCCGCTCCATATAATGGGCCAGCTTTATGGTTACTGGAGTAAGAATAACCACCAAGGTTCCAATAGGCAAGCTCGTGCAAATCAAAGCAGACTGTGATTAACTGGGCAATGAAGGAAATGCAGTCGAATGCAACGATTACACCAGGGTGAACAGCACAGTTGCAAAAGACGACGATAAGAAATATACTGGACCAGACGAATCCGTATGATGCCTGGTTGTGACGGGAGTGTAGAGTCAGCAAGCCTTCTTTATAATACCCGATAAAACCATCATGGTGGGAATGTTTGCGCTCACTGTGCCTAGGTTTATGCTTGACCACGCTTCTCCGAGCCCATCACTTGAAACGACTCCTTCATGATGCTGAACCATAGCCCAGGCAAAGCAGATTATCGCTATCATGGTACATAGTACTGCACCAAATCGTAGAGACAGAAGCGAGAGCCATTTATTTTCTTTTCTCGGTACTGCTTCGATGCAGAAAGAAGGGGAGGGTTGGTGGTTTAAACCTGTAGACATGATTGTAGGTATTGTGAGGTAATTAAATAGTATGGCGATGATATAAATAAAAGACGAGACAACATGGAAAACCCATGGTTCAAGAGTACTTATATCTCGTATATGTAACCAGAGAACACGAAAATGGTTCCTATGTCATGCCAATCATTGCCATTTTTATACTAACACAGCCCTCAAGATGCGGTGGCAACGCCAAGTGCCCACAACTTCCGATCGGACCAGTAGACTCGATGAACGGATTGCGGAGCATTTATGCAGGGTCCAATCTACATTGCCGGCCCCCAATCTGAGCCTCTTACCTACCCATTTAGTTAAATCATGCGCCGTCCACAGCAGCACTTCACCACCAGAGGTGTTTGTCTTGGCGTCGCTTGGCGTTCTCGGATAGGAAGGGAGTGGCATATCGCAAAGCCTTGGGATAAATGATGATTTTTCTATAAATATGTAGTTGCTTTTACATTTTGACATCCCTGTTCGTGGCTGAAGCTAAGCTTGGCTAGAATATATAGTTGATTCGATGTTTAAATCTTGGCGAGCTAGTGAAGTAATTAGCAGAAACACCTGTAAGTAGAGTGCAGAATAGCACACCTTGGAGTTTCCCTCCGTCGCAGTCGGAGGGTATGCCTCATTAGTATGCAATTTTTGCGACGTGGAGTATAATTCCAACTATGGCCACATGGGTCCTTTGCAAGTTGTATCAGCCTCTTTAGACTGACAACAACAAAAGCAATGAATGGGAGCTCATCTCTCTGGGTGGAGAGGGGGGTGGACGTCTCCACTCGTGTTTGTGTGGCTGTATCAAATGTGTCCACCTCTGTGGGTGTTGTATTCGTAGAAGTTCTCACTGTCTCTGATTCTACCGAGATCATCCGATCGAATTGCGCACTGCAGCCTAAGGCTGTGACGCTATCGAGGGAGGGTGAGAATGAAGGCCACGAGGGGTTCTTCTGGGGCCACATCCCCAGTCTGCACGGAATGCGAGAATTTCTCATGTTTTGGTAGAATGTTTCCTACTATGAGGTATATTGTAGCAAGAGAAGATTTGGTTTCAGTAGCACCGAGGGTCGAAAAAGAGAGGAAGAGAGATGAGGCATATGATGGCCAGGTGCCCAGCCCTGGAGGTGGAGCTCAAATACGACAAAGCTAGGTCAGCCCTGGAGGCAGCCCTGGCTCGGATAGATGTTTACGTGAATCAGGTAGGAAAAATCCCAGGGCTTCATTTCAGTACTTTCCTCTTTTCGTCTTTCCTCCAAATAATCTTATCTGATCATCATCTCATGTTTCAGGTACTTCATTGTATATGCTGATTGGCAAGGGTTCAATTCTACACTATCTACTCCCATACCTGGACTGTCCTCTAATGTGTGATAAGCAAAACATTGATCGAAATCTCTTAAGTTATAATAATTTGCTGCGTCAATTCAAAATGAAAACAGGGTAGGTATCTCCCGCCCAGAGGCTGAAAGCCGCAAAGAAAGAGGGAATATCCAAAATATACCCCTGAAAACTAAATTCAAAGCTTGGGATCATGTTTCCAGCCCGGCAGATCAGCGAGATCTTTCGCCGGGGCAGCGCGTATAGATTTGAGAGCATCACCCCCAGGTCTCCACATCCAAGGATCAGCTAGGTGTGGCGGAAGAGACCCTTCTATCAGCTCAACGACATGTTTACCGATATTGGGTAGAAGCTTGAAGCTATGTCTGTAGTATACTCTGTTAGCAAGCCGCTTACTCTAAAATAACCCGAATTTTGATTATAAACTTACCCGCTGTCTCCCGTTGCCAGAATGAAGTTTTTCCACTTGGGGTGCTCGCAGATCAGTAAATTGGCGTCGGCAGTATCCGTGCACCAGCACATAGACCGGTTGAAAAGCTCTTTATCCTTGAATTGTGGCATGAACCTCGCAATTGCCTTTCGAATTGTTACCTCAGAAGCTTCGGGGTAGGTATCTGTAGGATGTTTGGCGTGTGATCGAGGAACAGAGATGGATTTGGGAGAGGCCGCGCCATAAGGTTGATGCGGCTTGAAGCGAGAGAATCCAGGGAACTCGTCACAGACTTTGATCACCCCATGTCTATAGATGAGGACTTAGCTCGTGGCTCTGATTCCTCCGGCATTGGATCAGGAAGGACTGCTTACTCGTTGGGTTCGAAGAAGAAGCCGTATTCGCCATCGTATACCACGGGAATATTCTTGTACTTGGCCACTTCCTCGGGTGTGAGCTGAATATGAGCAAAGACCCACGCCTGCAAGAATTGGTAATTAGCAACTCGATTCATTTGCAGCAGAATGATTTGTCAAAGGCTAGGGAAGAAGGATATCCTGAACTTACTTTCGAAACACATTGATCCTCCAAATCTATCAATGTTGAACTCCAAGCGCCAGCAGCCAAGACCACCTTGTCAGCATAATATTTAGTACCATCTACTGTCTCAACACCATTACAAGTGACCCCATCCGTGGTAAATAGAGGCCGTTTGAAACTTCCCGATCTATACAATTTCGGGTTAGTAAAAGGCTTACTGAAAACTCGCCGAAGGGTCATAACATACTTTCCAAATCCAAAATTGACACCTTGATCTTTCAAGAATTGTCCGATCGCATTGATGGCCTTGGCTGCAGCAAGCCAACCTCCATCGGCACAAAACAAGCCTTTCCACCCCTGAAATCACAATTTTATTAGCCATTGCTCCCTCAAGCTTATACTCATATGTAATTCACCTTTACTTGTTCTCTTGTAAAGGCTGGCACCTTTTCAAGTATATCATCCTCGCTTTCCAACAGCCAGTTTGTTTTCTCTAACCCAATGTTCGCGTCGATGATTGATTGGTAGTGTTTTCGAAGACTTGCAATACCGTCCTCAGATGACGAGGCATCGATCTGAAAATGTTGTTAGTATGAACTTATTGTACCCCGAGGAGCAATCCTTTTCTAACTCACCATACCGACATTGTGAAAGAAGGGCTTGAACAATGGATCATTTTTCCACATGTCAAGAGCCTCGAGCGAAAGTTGCAGATCTGGCCCATTGCGTAAACGGATGCTCATGATTTTGTTGAGATCATATCCTGCCGATTGAGCAGAAGGAATGGGATAGACATCAAGCACTGTGATATTCGAGGGAGTGTACCCAGAGCGAATGAGATGTAAGGCTGTCGAGGAACCCATGGTGCCGCCTCCACCAACCACCACGACTTTTGTAGTTGTACGCGAATGCGCCATTTCGGGGGTGTACTTTGTGCAAGGGGCGAAATTCACTGAGGCAGACTTCAAACCTACGAGAAGGGAGAATAGGACGTGAATTTAAGGAGTTGAAGCTTGTAAATTGTCAAGAAACTCGCTTGAAGCGACCGGTATCTTATGCTTATAAAGAGATATGTTAAAATTAACGCGATTGGTGCCAAGTGGGAACGTATCACCAAACAGTGGGACCGCAAAACACACCATTTGTTTCGCGTGGACCTTCCGTCATCCCGAAGAAACCCCGGTATGTGGATTCCGGCGTTGGAAAACGCGGGGAATTGACCCGCCAAAGATAGAGAGATAGCCTTCCAAGCTTGTACGTTATCGACCCCGGCCTTCGTTACTTATCTTTTTGATACGGTTATTAGCAAAAAGTCACTAATATGGCTGAATATTACGGATGAATCGCGTGGACCTTCACGACCCCAATGGCACTTAACCGACCCCGAATCCAGCGCGCGGGGAATATGCCCCCGATCAGAGGAAAGAGATAAGCTCACAGCATATAAATAAGCGATCAGGCCCGGCAACCAATGTGAAGAATATTAATCAAAACGCTGAAAGTGCTGTGATACTACAGCATATTTATTATAATGGCCGACAAGAAGACTTCTGTCTCCAATTTGCACGATGATACTCCTTCCTTCTCGGATAATGCGATAGGTCAATCTTCAGTGATTGATATGGAGCATTACAAGGCCACCGTTCCGTTGTGGAAGCGAGTATGGCAGCATAGTTTGACACAGATGATACTTTTGAGTATCCAGGCATTCTGTGGACCAGCAATGGCTGATGCAATTACCGGTGAGAACAATTCATCATTACACACTAGTGAGGTTACATAGTGGTATGGAAGTTTTGCTAATATTTCGCAGGCCTCGGTGGTGGTGGTCTTGCTTCTGCTCGGGTGTCAAACATCTCGACGGCAATCACATATGCCATGCTAGCAATCGGTATGTATTTTCATTGCCAAACATGAGGATTTAAGGTACTAACTCGGGAAAGTCTGTTTCTTCGGTGGTCCTCTTGTAAACAAAATCGGCATCAAATGGGCTCTTGTTATCGGATCAATGTCCTTCCCCATTGAAGGCTCGGCATACTACTGCAACAGCAAATTTGGAAACCAATGGGTGAGTGATGAACTCTTTCTGGAATTTCTATTCGAAAGTGCAACAAACAATGTGAACTACAAGATCTGACAAGTGTCTCCCTAGTATCTCATCCTGAGTGGTGCTATCAGCGGTGTAGGGACTGCTTGCTGGTATGTCGCTGAAGCTGGAGCCGTCATGACGCTTGCCCCATCTGGTGCCCGTGGAAAGTATCTGGCTCTGTGGATCGTTTCGAGAAATCTTGGACAGTTGGTTGGGGGTGCAATCAAGTGAGTTAATGCTTTAGCTGAAACCTCGATTAATGGACAGTTTTGACTAACTTTCGCTCTGCGCAGCCTGTCTAAGAACTATGAAAAAGGTGTCAGTGGTGGAGTTACTCCCGATACTTATATTGCCTTTCTGATCATTGAATGTCTTGCGTGAGTGCTTCGAAAACAGCTTCCAGGGCTGGAACATGGAATACCGTAAGCTTATGATATTTAATAGGCTACCATTCGCGTTGTTGATCACTCCCTTTGAACGCGTTGTCCGGTCTGACGGTACAAAGATTGTCACTTCGGAAACCCTTTCCACAAAGATGGAGATCAAGCGCATTGCAAAGACCATGACTTCAAAACTTCTTATGTTTTCTGCCCTTTGGGCACTTTGGTCATTCTTCTACTCGTAAGCCCATCAGTATCATGCTCATTAAAAGGCGACAATGCTAACAACTTTTAAAGTGGTACTTGGAATACATATCTGGCAACCTATTTCACCGTCCGCGCTCGCACTCTCTCATCGCTCATCTCTCCTTTCTTTTGCATGTAAGTCAAGTGCTGTGAAATCATATCATTAACACCAACTAACGACGGTGATTATTAGCATTGGCTGCTTTGGCCTCGGATTCATTCTCGACATGAAAGGTCTCAGCCAGCGCCGTCGTGCCCAGCTCGGTCTCTACACTGTCGTCATCCTCAATGTCGCCGTCTATATCTGGTCCATTATTATGCAGGTTAAGTTCAACCATAATGATCCTGGTGCCATTGACTGGGACGATGGCCTGTACCCTTCGTCGTTCCTACCATATTTCTTTGTGCAGACTACCGGTCCGCTATCCCAGTCGTACATGTATTGGCTTTTGTCATCTTTCGCCACTGATGCACAGGGTAAGTGACTCCAGAGACTCGGATTCGAGTTCATAATGGCATTGGACGCTAATGGCAATGTTAGAAAACGTTCGCAATGGTGCCGCATTCAGATGCATCGAAGCTGTTGGTCAAGCTATTGCCTATGGAATGAACACGCAGACGACTAATGATCCGCTGGTTGGGTTGTAAGTTCAATCAATCTTAGTTCATTTCCCTTGACAAGAAGCCAACTGACCTGATTCTAGCTGCGTGACATTCGCCTTACTCGGAGCATCTTTACTGCCCATGATTATGCTTGTGAACACAACACCAGACCGTGTTCCTGCAGACTTAGTTGCCGAAGAGCAAAACGCTGCTAGTGAGAAGATTCGAGATGTTTAAGCCGGCTCTCAACACGGGAATATCCATTTAATGCTCTCATATTATTGTTACGAGATTTTATCTTCCGGGCAGTTTTATCCATAAAACATTGGTCGTAAAGTAGTCGCCTAGAGATAAATGGATAACGCTGGTATTGTCAATCTCTTGTCGAGGTCTCACTCTAACTTCTACCTTTGCACCAACATATCAAAAATACTAACGCGTGTCACGCTTCTTTCCGCCTGTTTCAAACATGATACGGCAATACCTTTCGTCAGTGTCTGTAGATCCACGTCCTTGTGATAGTGAGTCTACCAGTCAGAACGAGACGGGCCAAAACGAGACCAGACAAGGTGAGACAAAAAGAATAGTGAGAATGTCAACATCGCAGCTAACCAGCCAGCTCCACAACAATCCCCGGCTTCACACCCGAAACATCAAACACTCGTTACCGACACCACCATCAAGAGCTTTGGCCTGCAACACTATTCTCTCGACGGACCCAGTGAAACTCCAGGAGACCACCAATCATCCTCGGCATCGCAGAGCAGGAGGGGGAACCGCACCAGACGTGACACACATCATCACCAGTCTACTGGACAGCGCAGCCCCGAGAACGAATCATCCCAAAACGCGTCACCTCCACCCCAAATACCTCGAACTCCAGCAATAAGGCCACTACGACAAACAATCCCAGGATGGCAATTCTCAGACCCCATTGCCATTCCACCAAGGCGACCCAGTGACGGAAGTTCTCCTCAACCTCCGGTGCCCCCTTCTTCTCCGACAGCTCTTGGGACGACTATGTCTCAGATGATACCATTGCCAATTACCGCGCCATCGGGGCACAACACCAAGCATGGATAGCAGGCCCAGCCGCAAAATCATGTCCAGTCGAACGATCCAGAGTCACCTGGGCAGACTTAATCCACAACCCACTGGAAGAACACAGCTTCGAGGTGTATCTTAATGACCTTCGATCACCACCCGAGGAAGTGGGCAACATCGCCACAACCGGGCTGTCGATGGGAAAGAATTGGCGGTATGTCTTTTTGAGGCAATGGGGGCACTGGGATGGTGGTCGTCAAGAGGGCTACACCGTTTACCAGCACCGTACTGGACTCGGCGCTATTTTCGTTGAGAACATTACTAGACGATTCGGGCCATACTGGGCTCAAGTGGCTCAGGCGCAATACCAGCTTGATAACCACATCGATACGCTCCAGTATGTTTATTTTATCAATGTTCAGAACGTCTGCACCTGGCCCTACGTGGAAAGCCGTCTCTACCCTCGTCACGGCTTGAACTGGTTTGACGACTATCGGCCCCAGCGTTGGACATACGGTACTAGGGAATATCAGGAGCTTCTGGGTACGAAGCTGGGGAGGGGAGTGGCTCGTTTGGTTCTGGGGGGCTTGGCCGAGAGGTACACATCGCATCGAGACCATTTATACGTGGACCTATGTCGGAAACCTGCAGATGAGGTTTGACATTAAGCGAGTTTGATTCGGCGTTTTATCTAAATGACTCGATGATATAGTACATGCCAATCTCACGAATCACATCATGTATTCCCTCTATCTCAAGCAAATGCATCTCAATGAATATTCACTAACTCAAATAAATAACTACAAAAGATGAAAGATGTATCACTCGGTTATCTGCCGACAGAAACACGAAGACTTAATAGGCACATCCGCCCATGCTAAATTAATCTTCAGTTGCGGTAGCATGGCACGCGCCTCATATTTCCGACCCATCTTAACCAAACACTCATGATACCCATGCGAGGCCCATACATTACCCGGATGCCTGAACGCACGAGGCAGAGATGAGTCAACTCCAAGGTCTGCGGCATATACAGCCGCAGCCTCCTCAACATGACCCTGTTCGAGCAATAACGCCCCCAGGGCGTGTCTAGTGGGCTGCATCCATCCCCACGGCTCATCATATGGCAACGAATCATCCCGCCTGACAGCATCCCGGAGATATGAAAACGCAGCGTTGTATTCCCCACGGCGATACGCAATCTCACCATCAAGCATTGCCTCACCAACACCAAGGATATCGATGCAGCGGTTGTTGAAGATGGTACGTGAAGCCGGGACAAGTTTCATTGCTCGGAGGAACCGTTCACGTTGTTGCTCTGCCTCCACAACACGGCTGGTAGCAGCAAACGCGATGCCCTTTGCATAGTGCATCATAGCAGTGGTGACGCAGTACAGCTCTGCATCTTCCGGTAACTCCACAGCAATGATCTCCTCCCACCTACCGAAGCGCACAAATCCATGCATTTGCATAGCGATAAAGCCCTCCAGCCAGTCCGCCATCGGCGGGGACTCAACGCGTAGAAGTGGCTCGGTAATTATTCGCGCGAGCTCGGCCCCAGACTCAAGTGCGATCTTTGAGCGGCCACCCAGCATAGCGGCGTACATCCTGAAGTGATAATCATGTGCACGGTACAGATTATAGAAATGGCCGAGGGGCTGGTTGGCGAGGAACTTCTCGTCTGCGAGGATTGCAGAGGTATTAGCAGCGACAGCGCGTTTGTACCCGCCACACAAAACATCGATGTGGGACGGCATGTGTTCCAGATGACCAGCATCCGGTACAAGGCCGCGCAAGTACTCTGCTACCGGCAAGGCGATTTCCGGCGTAGGGGACATTTCCATGAGATGGATGTAGAGATGCAAAATCCCGGGGTGTTCGAGGGCTTCGTCTCGTTTTAAGACTTGATCTAGCGCTTTCTTCGCTTCGAGAGTTTTCGCTCCTGGTGCCACTTCGCCGGTCTTTATGTCCCACAGACCCCATGGCGTTAGGTTCATTAGCGCATCGCAGTACAGCGCGGTCACGTCGAGGTCATCTGGGTAATCATTGTACACTGATGTCATTGCTTCGGCGTACTTCTTGTCCCATTCTGTGCAGTCTTCTATAGGCTGTTCTTGGGGGTATCGATACTGCAGTGCCTCGATAAGAGCATTCTCCAAAGGCGTGACAGCAGGAGCGTGTTTCTTCGCCTCCAGGATCGCGCGATGGGCTCGAGTCGTGGTGGCGGAGAGATCATACCCGTCAAAGAGTTGCCATGGCTTGTTATAGTTTGGTCCCAAGGCAAGGGCAATGCCCCAGTAACCCATGGCACATGTCGGGTCGAATTCGACGACCTTTTCAAAGCATCGGGCGGATTCTTCGTGATTGAAAGCGTAGGCCCAGATCAAGCCCCGACTAAACCAGAGTTGGGCATCTTCGCTTGATGTGCTCACATTGCGACGGTAGTCGCCTAGGTTATAGTAGTCCTCGGCGGGAGATGGCTGGTCCATTTTTGTTGATGTGGGTTGTGTTATGTTGTGGTAGAGGAGGGGTATGGTTGCCCAACGCGACCCTACCCCGATTCACATCTAACCATTTTGATCACATTTGATATTGGGATAAGCGCTTATAATGAAACGAAGTATATACTAAGGGTTATTTATAAATAGTGACAGATCACAAAAGTCCCTGATGCAGTGTTTTGTGCCTGAGGCAACAAGGCAGTACGGCATCAAGGCACCAAGGCACCAAGAGCCCCACATGAGCAGATTTGAGGAGCTCCACTTTTAATGTGCTCACTCGTGCTCGATCACTCTCACCTTGAGCACCTTGGGGGCCATTGAGATTCCTATTTAGATCTGCTTTGTCCTGTCGTCCTTTCTTTTTGTCTTTGTTACCTACAGTCAATATAACAACATATATACATACATATCCACCATCTTTCATCTCATCTCATTTCAGTATCTTCACTTTTATAGATCGCCATGTGTGGAGAAACCAACCGCCCAACATTCGGAGGCACCATTGCCGTCCTATTCCCTCGAGGGACCCATCAGAGCTCGAACACGTCAGATGCATCATTATCCTCATCACCAGCATCAGTATCCTCATTTGCATCATCGTCGTCGACTGGCTCGATGTCATCATACTCTCTTTTCTTCCGGGACACAGATGCAACAACCCCTAAGACGAAAGCAATCTTCCGAACGGAAGATGCAGATACATACCACGCACTCAGAGGTTGTCGAAATGTCGATATGCGCATTGAGTGAGTTTATTATGTCCCATGAGTCGTTAGACGGACAAAATACTTATACTTCATGTTAGGAAATACGGCGATCTCTCCACTACGTCACAATCCACATTCCCCCTTCATCAGTTCCGCCTAAATATGGCACAGGAGAAGAACTACAAAACGGCGAATTCGATGGAAATCGAGTTCGAGCTGCCCGAAAGGCTGGACCTGGGCGTCTCGGAGAATGGCGTCATTGGCCGACAAGTGACAGTCAGAGACCAAGGGGGTGAGATCCTCGGAATCGGAGTTGTAGGATACAATTAAAGTATCGAGCTTCTACTATTTACGAACGTAATTCATGGAAATAATCAAAATCATAAATCATTGTGTGTGGGAGTTGGAAATACTAGGTTTCTTCAATAGAGTACCGGGTCATTGAAACAAAACCTTGGGAGGAACCTCAGTTCATTTTCAGCCTCACAGCTTCAATGGATTTTCCACGCCAGCAGTGTAACGCTTCTCTGCTTCGGCCCAGTGAATAATCTTCCAAATCCCCTCGACATACCCAGCCTTGTTGTTCAGGTACTGTACACAACGCAGATTAGCAGACAAATACACATAACAAGGGACATAGACATGGGGGTCAACTTACCTGGAGGTAGTAAGCATGTTCCCACATATCCACACCGAACACAGGAACATCAGGTGCATTGACAGGGTCCTGGTCCTTGGTGGTGATAATCTCAAGTCGTCCCTTCGCACCACCCTTGCTCACTAGCCATCCCCAGCCACTCCCCTGAAGACCGAGGAGCTCGGCGCCAAAGGCCTTGACAAATGCTTCATGCGAGCCCCAGCGGGAGGCGATGGCTTCCTGTAGAGCGGGAGCACCGCTGATATCATTACCAGGTGTGCCGGGGGGAGTCAAGTTCTTCCAGAAGAGGGAGTGGTTGATGTGGCCACCACCGTTGAAGCGGAGCTTTTGCTGCAATGAGATCAAGGTGGGAACATCATTCGATGCAGTTGCGGAGGCTTGAGCGGAGAGTGCTGCATTCAGGTTGTTGATATATGTCTGGTGGTGCTTCTGATGGTGCAGCTCCATTATCTGCTTGGAGATGACGGGCTCCAACGCCTGTTGGTTGTTAGTTTCATGTCATAATTCTCGGGATACGTAATCGGAAGAGGCTTACATCGTAGGCGTATGGCAAAGGAGGCAGAGTGTGAGTTTGAGAAGACATGGTGGAATTGTGAATATAAGTGCGTGTCAAGGTATCAAGTGTTGAGAGGAGTGAGAAGGAATAGTAGAGATGTAGACAAGAGATAAACCACCAAGGTCCCTGAGATAGATACCCCTCTTAAGTGACGTGATATTACGGATCTTGAGGCCACCAAGGTAGATATCCACAGGTGGAGGTGCTCGGCAATTGTAATGAGTTGGATTGAGCACGTTTTCGCTCAAGTTGCTCTAATCTGCTCACAGCGTGGTCGCGTTTAAATCAATAGCCGTCCATACCCAGGTGGATGCGTTTGCTTATAATGTTATACAGTGTAACATATTAGTTATTCCTGCAGAATCTTATCAAAATTAAATAAAGCAGATCAATTTATCAAGTGGATAATTATATATGCATAATTCTCAGAATGATCTTTTTGATTTGCGGAGACAGAAGAAGGGGGAGAACAATCCGGGGAAACTGGCTCTTTATGCCCACAGTGACCTTGAGTAAAAATACTAGTTCTATCAGAGAGAAATGGAGGGGAAATTGACAAACTTGAGTGGCAAGAATGGTTAACAGATTTTGACTAAAGATAGCAATAACAAACAAAACGATAGGCTAGGAAGATGTGGAACCATGAAGAGGAACCGTGAAGAAAACAAACAGAGAGCCATCTCTGTGAAAAGGGCTCAAATATTGGCTCAAAGAGCATGGTGTCCAGCTCCCTCCCAATGTCTATGGAGAACGCAGAAAAGTACAGTCTGTATCCACAGAGGTGAGGTTAAGAAGGGCCCATTGGTTCCTAAGGGAGGTCCTTTCAGGAAATCCACCCGACATTCTTCATGCCATTGAACTAGAACCGAGGCCCTAGTCCAGTTTCAGCCTTAACTGGACCACGTCAAAGATCATCAGTGCCCTCAGAATACCCTTCGGGCAACAGAACCACGATGTGCAATGCGTGTCCGGAGGAGTGGAGAAGGAAGAAAGAAAGAGAAGTTGAAGTTGGGGGAGGGGGGTGTTTATGTTTCCCCAGTGAAGGCAAATGAGGAAACTGGGGTGATGCGTTTTGACCCAAAAGGGAAGGCACCCACCTACCCAAATAGGCAGGTACCACTTGGGTTTCACATCATAAAATCCACATGTGACCATCTGATAGAAGTACCTAGGTAAGATCGTCACTAATTCTATAGATTGCCTTTCAACTTGAAAAGCTTGGCTATAAACGACAACCAAACGTGATTAATACTTAAGTCTCGCCTATTCTTAGGCTTAAATATCGTAGATTTATATTTGTACCTTGTAGACACGTTTTCTGCTCTTCGCTAGATTTGTAATTTACGATAGAGCTTTGTTTATTTCCATGTATATCATACAATGATGTCGAATGGCTCCTGTTCCCATCCAGGGGGAAAGACCTTTCCATGTTGTCGCGCCGGGTAGGATCTGATGTAGCACAGCTTGATCAGCCTCTCGCAATCTTTCTACGGTAACTCATTTTAACCGTAGCAATATTCGGGCCGTTATCGTGTCAACTACTACCGAGCCTGCAGATCTGGAGTCATCTGATTAGCGGTTTGGAGATATTTTTCCACCAATTGCACACTTGTCCGAATCGGAAAGAAATGCGAATGGATTGATTTGACCCATAGACTTGGATCGATCTCACCTGGGCAGAGTGAACTCGCGTCACTGCTTCCCCGCATATGACCCCAGGGGACGGCCACCATATATCTCAACATCAAGAAGCTACTGTAACATGTAGACCTTAATTCATTCCAAAACTCATCAGCCTTATTGACTGCCACGTGCTCCAAACGACCTCCTCTTTAGCTTAATTCCTGCCAGTTCTCAGGATATTCAAATACTATGGGTGATATTGTGCTCTCGCAGAAAAAGCGCTATGCGCTGATCGGCACTGGTGGAAGATCCGCTCTGTTCTACACAAGCATTGCAAAGGATTACAATAAGACCAGCACTCTTGTTGCAATCTGTGATACCAACCAGACCCGACTCAACTATGCGAAAGCCAAGATTGAGGCCTTGGGCCATGAATCCATCCCAACCTATCTCGCTGCTGATTTCGATCTTATGATCAAGGAAACCAAACCGGATGAGGTTATTGTCACCACAATCGACCGTACTCACCACACTTACATTGTCCGTGCCTTGGAGCTTGGCTGTAATGTCATTACTGAGAAGCCAATGACCATCGATGTATCGCAATGCAACGAGATCCTTTCGGCTGTCGATCGTACCAACCAGAGAGTCAGGGTCACCTTCAACTACCGTTATGCACCGCATAACACCAAAATCTTTGAACTCATTCGATCCGGCGCGATCGGTACCGTTACAAGCATCCACTTCGAGTGGATGCTCAACACGTCTCACGGTGCAGACTACTTCCGACGGTGGCATCGTGATGCCCGGAACAGTGGAGGCCTTCTTGTTCATAAATCCACTCATCATTTCGATTTGGTCAACTTCTGGTTGCAATCTCGACCAAAGACAGTCTATGCACAGGGTGATCTCAAGTTCTACGGAAAAAGAACGCCGAGGAGCGGGGTGTGACCCAGTTCTACTCGAGAGCTCATGGCAGCGAGGTAGCTAAGAATGATCCATTTGCATTGCACCTAGGCGAAACCCCTCAGTTAAAGTCTCTCTATCTGGACGCCGAGCATGAAGATGGTTACTTCCGTGATCAAAGTGTCTTTGGCGATGGAATCAGCATTGAAGACACGATGAACGTGCTTGTTCGATACGAGAACAACGCAGTCATGACCTACTCTCTCACGGCATATGCCCCCTGGGAGGGATTCCGTGTCAACTTCAACGGAACAGGCGGTAGACTGGAGGCAGAGGTTGTCGAGAGCAGCTATGTGAACTCGGGTGGGGAGCAATCACTGGAAGGCGCTGCTGAAACTACAACTCTCCTTTTGCGACCTTTGTTCCAAGAGCCGCGCAAGGTGGAGATTGTGCAAGGCGAAGGTGGGCATGGGGGTGGTGATAATGTACTGCTTCGTGATCTTTTCGGAGAAGCTGAACCCGATGAGTACATGAGAGCTGCTAGTCACATTGATGGTGCTGCTTCTATTCTGACCGGTGTTGCTGCCAATCGCTCGATCCGTACTGGACAAGTGGTGAACGTCAAAGACATTCTCGACCTCCCTTGAAAAATGTCGGCTATCTACACCAGTTAGTTGGTTCATCGTACTTTAGCCTCTTAGAAATTTCTATTTTTGCAATACATATTTGAGATCGATGTTGATCATAGACTAGAAATTGGCATGACAACCAACCCCATGGACAATATTAGCTGATGCACTTATTTCTTTCCACTGCCAAGCTGAATACTCATGTTATAAGGTCTATCTTCTCGTCGCATGGGGTTATTGGTTCTCTCATAACGGAACGAGGAGATTGGCACCCGTTACAACACAGAACTCTCAAGCGCCAAACGTATGCTTTTCGAATGTCACATGCAAAGCATTATGCAGACCCAGCATCCCTAACATACTGTGTATCACCAATGGGAAAGGTAGTTGGTCTACATGCGACGAGCAAACTACGGACGGCTCAATGGTTAAATGGGATAATGTGGGTAAACAGGAAGGTTTTCCTCAAGGATTTAGCCTGCCACAATCCACCGATCTACCGATTGATATACACAAAGTAGCCTCGGAAGGGAATGCGGGGAAGTACAAGGATGTTAATGTACCCCGGTTTCGGGTAAATAAGCAGCGAAGGAGGCTTTGTCTACGCATGCAACGCTTCCCCGCAATATCGGCCACGAAAGGTTTCCAAACAAGCAGTACTTGGCTGTCATATTTGCTCATATTTGTTCTAGTTCATGTTTTATCTGCCTTTGATAGGTGCAAAAACTCATCTAAACACTGAGGCCGAAAGTAGTTGAGGCCACACAACGGAATGGAGACCGGTATTGCGACTCATTATGTCTTTTCCGACATTTTTCTCTTTACGCTAGGGCCAAAGTGATAAACTATTGACCAAGAAGAGAAAGAAAGATAAGAGGCTTTGCATTCCTTTGAGGATCGAACACAAGCAAGTTGGACCTAGATTCCCCTTCTTTGCCCCCCTTGTTATATTCTCCGCCATGGCTGCCCAAGCCAACGATGAAATCTCGACAGTTCAGGAGCAGGAGCAGCGCCATGAACGGGCTACACGTTCAAAGGCAGTTGAATTTCTGACTTCTCATGCAACTGAGGAGACTGCGTTCACATATGAAGAGGAGAAAGCCGTTCTCCGTCGTATCGACAAGCGAATCCTCGTCCTTCTACTGTGGGCATATTTCTTCCAACAGCTTGACAAAAGTTCCCTGAGGTAATTATAATTTTTTATGTTACATATATTTCCAGATAATCCAACGTTTCTCAACTTCTCATAAGACTAATCCGTCATTGGTTAGTTATGTCTCCATTTTCGGCCTGCAAGAGGATGCTCATCTAGTCGGTCTACAATATTCCTGGCTTGGGTCTATTCTCTACCTTGCACAACTGGTAATGCAGCCTCTCGTGGCACTAATTTTGGTGAAACTTCCTACCGGAAAAGTCCTCGCCAGTGCCATTTTCCTCTGGGGATCGGCACTTACCATTATGGCCGCTTGCACTGATTTTCCCTCACTTCTCGGCTTGCGCTTCGTTCTCGGATCATTCGAGTCTTGCATTGCACCATGTTGTGTTGCTATGACACAGATGTGGTGGCGTCGAAGTGAACAGACTTTGCGTGTCAGCTACTGGAATGCAATGAACGGCTTGACCTCCATTATTGGCAGTCTTCTAACCTACGGCCTTGGGCATATCCACAGCAATACTCTATATCGGTACCAGACGATCTTCATGTTCTGTGGTCTGTTGACGGTGGCTTACTCTCTGCTCGTGTTCTGGTTAATGCCTGATTCTCCGATGGAAGCTAAGTGCTTGACTGAGCGAGAGAGATTCATTGCCACAGAGAGGCTGCGTGCCAACCAGATGGGTATTTCTAATCAAGAATGGCGATGGGATCATGCCCTAGAGGTTCTCCTTGACCTCAAGACTTGGTGCTGGTTCTTCTCGATTATAACTATCTCGTAAGTATTCAACTAATCGGGTCGTCGAACGCGGCCACCAGGCGGTGTCCGGGTTCCCGGGCGTAATCTCAACCCGGGCGTAATCTCACTTTTCTCCATTCCACCAAATAATTCATTGAATTTAAATAGCATCGCCTTCTAAATCAATACAATAAAGATCATCAATCCATTCCCGAGGCCTCTCTTCATCATGATCTGACCCAATTTGCCCTATATCCTCGATTTCTCCGTCGGCAATTGCTTTTAAAATAGCTGCATCCCGCCAGGCTTTCTTCGAACGATTGAATGATTGTAGCCTTTCCTTATCAACCCGATCATTTATGTGCTTTTTACAATCCTTAACCAAACGAGGGCCCATTTCCGGAAGCCTTCGTTTAGTCTTAGCTGTATTAGACCGCTTCTTGCGCCGTAGAATTCGCACGTTGTCTTCCGCAAACTGAGCCCCGACCTCAACGAGAACGAGGCCACCCGCTAGTATCTGAGAGAGGCTTTGTCGTACCTTCGGGGAGATTGTCGAGTCATTTTGAATATGCTTTATAACCTTAGTGCTTACCTTTCTCAATTTTTGTACTGTCTCGGGCGGGGTATTAGGCAGTGAGCTTGATAATAGTGGTGGTGTAGTTCCGGAAGCAATATCATGAATAATAAAACCGGGCATCATAGGTAGATCATTATCCTCAGTCGAAATACCAAGTTTGGTAAGGCCTTTATTAGAATCCATAGGCCAAATACCAGTTTCGCGGAATCTATGTCGAATAGTACGCGTTATAAGTGCCGACGTCCGGACATCGTAGATTCCCGCGAAGAAATTTGCCTTTGACCGCGCATCACCACCCCAAAAGGCTTCCTTATTATTATACTTCTTATAATAATGCTTAAGCACTTAAAATAGTATATCATCGAGCGGTTGGCAGCCATATGTTATATGTGGGATAAAACAATAGGGGATAATTCGTTTTCTCCAACAAAATTCAATAAAATCATAGGTCAAGTGTGAACTATGATTATCTATTAAAAGAAGACGATATTCCCCTTTTTTAACACAGAAAGATGTGAATTCGTCGAAGACCTAAATCCAGGCAAAACTAATAATCTCATCGGTCCAGCCGTTTAGGGTTGGCCATATAGTATAGTCGTCGGGTAAGTTAGTGTTGATAAACCAACTCTCTATATGGAATTGACCCTTAACTAAAAACCACGGTAGCATAACCCAACCATCGGCCGAGACGCATTCGATACCAGTAAGGGATTCAGCTTGTCCGCCGGTATTATTTTTAGAATTTCCCCGGGCTGAAACAACGTTCTAGGCCTTGCCTTCGCCAATTCGAAACCCAGTTTCGTCGAAATTGTATAGATTCTTCTATGCAATTCCGTAGGTTTTGAGCGTAATTTGTAGGCGATCGTACCAAGAAACAATATAAGCAGGTTCACAGACTTCATATCGTGCTTTTTCCATCGGCTTTTACTTAATAGTCTCAAAGCGTGAAGGTAGACGGGCGATAAAGTCGTACGCCCAGTTTTTTCCGAGCGTGCGGGCGGGTTCATGACGTCGAACAATTTGTAGAGCAGCAGCCTGAATTTGCCCTGCGGTCGGGGGAGAATAGGCCTAGTCCAAGGTATCAATCCATAGAATTAATGCCTTCTCTTGCTCGGGGTCTAATGCTTTGTTGGTTAGGATACGATCGTTTCTAGACTTATAACCTTTGAGGCGGCCCCTCAGTATGCTAGACGTAATGCCAAATTCTCGGGCGATCGCTGAAACGTTAGGTTTCTGGGTAGCAGAGCATGCTGATAAGGCATTAGAGATACGGGCTTCTAATTCTTGAGACATAATATAGAGAATTAGGGGTGTAGTGAATTAATGAAGAAGGTGGAATGGAGAAAAGTGAGATTACGCCCGGGTTGAGATTACGCCCGGGAACCCGGACACCGCCTGGTGGCCGCGTTCGACGACCCGATTATTGCCAAATTTACACACGAAGGGAAAGAATTGATTAAACTAACGAAAACTTTGTAATAGCATTGCAAGCGGAGGCATCTCCAGTTTCGGTTCCCTGATAGTCAAGTCATTCGGATTTGACAGTTTCACAACAATCTTATTCAATATCCCCTTCGGAGTTATTCAGATTCTGGCTATCCTACTCACTGGGTGGCTAGCCACATGGACCCAACGAAAGGGTCTCGTTATAGCTGGAGCCAGCGTACTACCCAGCGTCGGAGCCATCATGCTGCTTACTGTCCCGCGACACAGCAAGGGTGTTTTACTCTTCGGCTACTACTTAGTATGCTCTTGATAACATAGTAATTTATAAGATCTACAACTAATGATATGGTCCCAGGTTTCTACAATGGCATCCATCACCCCACTGATATATGCCTGGCAAGCACAGAATACCGCAGGTGACACTAAAAAGAAGTGTACATCTGGTATAGTATTCATCGGCATGTGCGCTGGCAATGTTATTGGACCACTTCTTTACTCCACTGAGGAGGCACCATTATACCGAACGGGTCTTATAGCCAACCTTGCTATGTTCGTCACTGTTGGACTCATCTCTGGGTATGATATAACTTGATCTCTGTTGTTTTATTATTCAGCTAACTGTCTTTGGTAGCCTGACTCCTTTCTATCTTATGTACCTGAACAAGAAGCATGAGAAGCGACGCGTGGAACTTGGTAAAGTGGGTCCCGTCGCTGATATGTCTATGCTGGACAAGGACCAACGGAAGGAAACCAAGGTAGTGGAGCTGGAAGATATTCAAAAGGTCTCGGTGGAACAGGACAACGGCTTGCAGGACATGACCGACCTGAAGAATGAGGACTTCGTCTATGTTTATTAGTTCCCAACGATATGCAGAGAACACTGGATTTACTGAACTGAATATCACTTGCTCCATGATATCAACACGTCTTGATTCAAACGAATTTTATGACCAGGAATCCCCATATACATAGATAAATGAATCGATTATAGAAGTGCCCATAGAAAGCTTGACCGCCTCGTTTAAGTCGGTACAACCAGGAGTATACTGCGTGCATACTTGCTCCTGGCTTCGCTCTAGTATAGCCAGTTGCCTCACTAAAAAGAATCAATACCAATGCAATAATTCAATTAAAATTTCAAAATGTCTATCAATTAAATCCAAATAGAATCCATCATGGATGGATTTATTTATAGATTACTAATCACCCCAGGTTCTAAGCGGGGAGAGTCAACGAGCCTCGGTCATTTCGGCTTATACAAATACAAATAGCTAGGCCGGGGAACCAAATCTCTTCTTTCTTAATTTACTCTTCTCACATACTTGAGTTCTGATCAATTCCATAATGTCTGCCGACGAACAAGTCAAGCTGTCCAACTTCTCCAGCATCTTCTCCCTCGAGGGCAAGGTCGCTGTGGTCACAGGCGGTTCCCGGGGATTGGGACTACATGCAGCCTCAGGGTATGTATATCTCTACCGTTATGTCAATTATTTCTCCAATATTCATTGTTAAAATCTCTGCAGTCTCCTCCAAGCCGGCTGCTCTAAAGTCTACATCACCTCCCGCAAGAAGGCAGCCTGCGACGAAGCAGTAGCAGCTCTCAATGCCATCCCCAACAAGCGGCCCGGCGCACAAGCCATCTCTGTACCAGCCGACAGCTCAGATATGAAAGAGCTAGACCGGCTTGTCGCTGAAGTTGCCAAGACCACAGACCGTGTTGATATCCTCTTCGCCAATGCCGGCGCAACATGGGGTGAGAAATTCGATACCCACCCTGAGAAGATGTTCTCGAAAGTCATGGATTTGAATGTAAAGAGCGTGTTCTACACGATCCAGAAGTAAGTTCCGAACCTAGCCGAGACTGGGAATGAGACGCGATTCTAACATTGAGCTAGATTTACCCCTCTCCTCACAGCAAAGGCAACCATCGCAAATCCATCTCGCGTAATTATCACCGCCTCTGTGGCAGGTATTGGGATTGGCACGGTTGGTGAAAACGCGACACCGTCTTACTCCGCTTCCAAGGCGGCTGCTATCCATCTGGCGAAGAACTTGGCTGTTGAGCTTGGGCCACGCCATGTCTTGACCAATGCTATTGCACCTGGTTTCTATCCCTCTAAGATGGCGAGTGGACTTATTGAGTCAAAAGGTGGTATGAAGCAACTTGAGGAGTACTCACCAAATGGTCGGCTTGGCAAGCCTGAGGATATTGCCGGTTTGGTTGTCTTCCTCGGGTCAAGGGCTTCGAGTCATTTGAATGGAGCGGTCATTGCAACAGATGGTGGAGCTGTGCTCAAGGGGAGACTCTAAATTTAAACCTAAGTTTCCTTAACATGAATATAAGCTCAAAATACTATATAGTACGGAGTAACCTAGTCGAGGTTTCAATAAAAACCCCGTCATCAAATTAAGACTAAAATCTATCAAAATCAAGAGCCCAAATAGAGACTATCAGGTCTCAAGATAGTACAATATAGATATTCTCAGGAGACCTCGGGCAACCAACTAAATAATACCCATTCTCAGCGGGCCGAGGTTGCTGTTCTCCACACTTCTCCCCGCATTAAAAACCACCTCTCCCCACCTCAATGTCTTTCTCACTCCATATCCACAATGGCCTCCCAAGAACCCCGTTATGTGGCAATTGCCCAGCGCAAGCAAGCTGAGCTTGCCGCAGCTATCCCTGCCGAATGGCGGCTACCCGCACACGTCATCCCCGAGGGGATGCTCTCAATTTCCGAGTCGATCACCGTTGGCCCAAAAAATTACCAACGAGTTGGCGTGATGGATATCCCACGGACTTGCGGCCTGCTCACATCGAAAGAATTGGAAATCACAGAGAAATATGATGTGCGGGGCCTTGTCACGGAGATGGCAGAAGGTCGGTTGAAAGCCGAAGACGTGGTGCGAGGATTTTGCAAGGTGCGCTCGCATCCTAGCCGATTCTCTCCAATCAAGTCACTAATATGAATGGTATATTGCAGAGAGCAGCTGTCGCTCACCAGCTCACCCGATGTCTAACCGAACCCCTCTTCGGCCGCGCGTTGCAACGAGCCCGGGAGCTGGACGACCACTTCCAAAGCACAGGCGCCCCAATCGGCCCCTTACATGGACTCCCGGTGTCGGTAAAAGACACATTTAATGTCAAAGGCGTGGACTCAAGCATTGGATTGTCTGCGCTGGCATTCAAGCCTGCAGAAGAAAATGCCCCACTGGTAGACCTGCTAGAGTCTCTGGGCGCGGTAGTGATCGCCAAGACAAACATCCCACAAACACTCGCAACATTGGACAGCTGCAACCATCTTTTCGGGCGCACGCTGAACCCTCTCAACCGTAAATGGACTGCCGGTGGAAGCACTGGCGGGGAGGGTGCCTTGATCGCTATGCGCGGGTCGATGGTCGGCTTTGGCACGGATATCGGTGGTAGCATCCGCGTGCCAGCTATGTGCCAGGGTATCTACGGGTTCAAGCCGAGTAACGGACGCGTTCCATTTGGAGGCCAACAGAGCGGCCAGATTGAAGGTAAGGGTCGAATAGGGCTGCAGGCAGTGGCTGGTCCGTTGGCTCGTTCTGTTGCGGATATCAACGCCATCATGGCGGAGATCGTGCCTCGCGCGGAGCTGTTCGGTGAGGATTGCATTCCAGGATCATGGTCATCCCAATCGATACCGCTTACTCTCACTCCGCCGCACAACTTCACTATCGGTATTCTAAAGACAGATGGTCTCGTCACACCCCTACCCCCGATCATCCGAATTTTGAACGAAGTCGCTAACAGCCTCCGCCGTACCCCCGGCGTTGAGGTCGTTGATATCCCACTTCCACCGGTCCTACCTAAATGCCAGGGTGTCGCTGGCCGGCTGATGGGAATTGATGATGGGTCGAATATGCTTGACCTTATCGAGAGCATGGGCGAGGACCTCATTCCGTGGCTGCAAGGCCGAATGAAGCGCGGCAAGGCCCTGACGGTGGTTCAACTGGCGGCGCTGCAGGCACAGCGTGCTGAGATTGAAAAGGAAATGATGAAGATGTGGACGTTGTCATCACAGAGTTCATCGGTCGCTCGTCGCGTCGATGCCATAATTTGCCCTGTGGCACCGCACCCGGTCCCCGAGCTCGACCGCTACAATGCTGTCGGGTATACCTCGACCTTTGTGCTGCTAGACTATCCGGCTGGCTCCGTTCCTGTCCGCTCATTCGCGGAATCCGATCTTGAGATTGGGCGGGAAATGGAGGCGCCTGTGTTGGGAAGTTGGGATAAGGCTAATCGGCAGCTGTGTAAGTTCCAATGTCAACACTTGTGATCTTTCGCTAATTTGCTTCAACTCACAGGGGATGAGAAAACGGTTGACCGTCGGGTATATCTTGGGTCGCCTCTCAGTGTGCAGGTTGTCACTCCTAAGCAGCATGATTATCAACTTTTCCAGGCAATGGAGATTGTTGATCGGGCGGTACAGGGCCACGGGGGCTCACCTAGTGCGAAACTGTAGTTGCTTTGAGTGTACTCCGTGTATATCCATAACATAATTTGGAGGTCAATATCTTTAAATTCCCAAGAGGGAAATATAGTACGAAACAAGGAATGACTCTAGACCCGCCATTTTGCAATTGTGGACTGACTCGTCGATTCGGGAAAATAAATCAATTCGACCAATAACAAGCCCGGAAATCAAAAGTGCCATAATTAGCTTGACCGAGACCCACGGAAATGGCCGACAAGCAATGCGGCTAACCCCTGACAAGACTAAAGCCAATCTCGCGATGCTCTTAATTATGGCGCAATAGCTGCCCCTTTGCCTTCTCTGGACTGGCGTCCACCATACCACGTTATCGCCAAGGCAAAAGAGAAAAAAATAAGCAAACTAAGAAATAAAATAAGACAAAAAAAAAAAATTTAAGTCCCGAATCCACGGGTAGTCCGACTCACATTTGTTTATAATGCAGGGCTCCGCCGATCCTATGTAGATTTGACCTTCTCAGCTCATCACCTTGATCATCTTACTCAACATGTCCAACGACGACAAGAAGGAACCAGGCTACGTCCTGGGCACCGAGACGGATGACTCTTTAGATACGATCACTGCTCTGGTCGCCGCAGGTATAGATTGCGCTGTGTTATCTGTCGGAGTAAGCTGACATTCCCTTTTCGTCCAGACCATCAACATGATATCAAGCTTCGGACTATGTCCTGGCAGAAGACGGCCTGTTTGCTTGCCGGTGAGCAGGTCTGTCTAGCTATTATGGCACAGTCTTGGTCTCTCTCGTGAGTAACCATTCCCTTCAGATACCGGATTTCAATGAAGCTGATAAGAGTGTTCCCCTCAGTGTCCTCGGATGGGTTCCGGGAATCATTACTATGGTCCTTTGCGGAATCCTTTTCTGGATCACCTCCATCACGATGCATAAGTATATCATGAAACATCCTCATATCATGGATATCTGTGAGTCTGCGACAGTCCGAGAATTTCGACTTCTACCTGCAATAAAGACTAACAGTTGAATTATCGATAGGCGATTTTGGATACCATGTATTTGGACAGAGCAAAATTGCTTATGTCTTCTCCTCATTCATGATGCTTGCGAACAATATTCTTCTTATCGGATTCCACGTCTTGACTGGCGCCAAGGTCTTAAATACTCTCTCAGACCACTCATTGTGCACTGCTGTCTTCTCCATAATTGTAACCATTATGGGAATTATCATGTCCATGCCCCGCACCTTGCAACACGTTAGCTTCATGTCAATGTTCTCATGTGAGTAGCGAAATTCCCTCTAGCTCCCAATCGGCTCAAACTGACCATCTCACAGCCGCCTGCATGGGTATCGCAATTCTTCTCTTCCTTATTTTCGCTGGTATTGAAAAAGCACCTCTCTACGGGTACAGTGGCAACTACCCTACGGAGGGACCCGTGAAAACATACGCCTTCCCTCTACCAGGCACCACATGGGTCGCCTGCATGAACGCAGTGATGAACATCACCTTTATCTGGGTCCCCCAAATTCTATTCCCAACCTTCATTTCAGAGATGGAAAGACCGCAAGATTTCCCCAAAGCATTGGCTGTTCTTGCCGCGATCTCCGCCATCCTCTTCATCGTCCCTTCAGTTATTGGATTCCACTTCCTGGGCCAATACTCCACCGCCCCAGCCTTTGGCAGTTTAGGAGTCGTTTCATACAAGAAGGCATCTTTCGGCTTCGTGATCGTTCCTACCCTGATTATCGGCGTGATCTACGCCAACGTAACTGCGAAATTCATCTACACCCGCATCCTCGGCAAGTCCCGACACTCGCACAGCCACACCGTGCTGGGATGGAGTGTGTGGGGGATAATCATGGTCGGGATCTGGATCCTTGGGTTTATCTTCGCGGAGATTATTCCCAGCATGGGTGATTTCCTTTCCCTGCTCAGTGCGGCCTTTGATTCGTTCTTCGGCTTCATTTACTTCGCCATTGCATACTGGCAGCTGAACCGGGGATCCCTTTTCAGTGGTCTGGGAAGGACTGCGCTGACTGTGCTCAATATTTTTATCATGGCTGTTGGATTGTTCTTGTTGGGTCCTGGGCTGTATGCAGCTGTTGAGGCGATCATTGCTGACTACGCGGGATCTGTCACGCCTGCCTTTACTTGTGCCAACATGGCTCTCTAAGGGACAATCATTTGGTAGCTTTTTATGACCGGATAAGTTATTTGATGCCTATGTTTTATTATGACCCAAAGCCATCACTTAAATAGAGAAAGGCATGAACTGGAATATCACATGCTTTTTAACATTCAATTTAGTCTATCATGCATTCTGTAGAGTCCTTATAGATAATGTTCGGTTTTGTGTATCTACTTAGGAGGATAAAGAGAGAGTCGGTCTTATTAGCTAGCTATATCTCATATTTCAGTCATAAGTTTATAAATAAAGTTATATTTGATAGAGTTTAATTGACACTCTACTAGCCTAGATATGTGACCTTATTCCTCAACACCAATGTTGGCCGATTGCTCATTTGTGTACCTGCCTATTGTTCAATCATCCCGCAGTGCCGCCGAGATAGCTTTCATACCTCCCTCGAGTTCCTCACGTGTCGGCCAGCCGTATCCAAGGCGGAAGAAATTATCGGGCAACTCAAACCAGTGGCCTGGGCCAACATAAGTAGCATACTTCTTGAGTAGCCTGTCGTAAAATGCTGACAGTCCACCTTTGGGCTCATTTTTAATCCTCGGGAAGCAGACGACACCACCGGTAGGTTTCACCCATTCCAGTAAATCCTCACTTCCGATCCATGCCTCGACCATTTGAAGACGGACATTCATTTCCTGTGTCGTTTGGGCCAGGATTTGCTTTCTTTTCGAGAGAACCTGCGTGGCAATCCATTCGTCTATGACGCTGCCGCTGATACTAATCTGCTCTTTTGCTGCCAAAAAGACCTCTTGAAGGTCCCTGTTGGTGGTGATGATCCAGCCAATACGGATTCCGGGAATTCCAAATGACTTCGACAACGAGCTTACGCTTAGAACGTGGTTACCTAAGGAAGCCGCTGAGGGAAGTTTCTGACAATAAGCGATATCGCGGTATGTCTCGTCGACAAGCAAAAGAACGCCCTTTTTCTTAGTCACAGCAACAAGCCGGTCAAGCGCCTCCCGCGACAAAGTTGAGCCGGTAGGGTTGTGCGGGCAGGTCACGGAGACAAGCCGAGTGTTAGGCTTGATGGCATTTTCAATGTCATCAATGTTGGGCTGGAAGCCAGACTCAAAGGTAACGTCAATGTACGATATCTCACAGCCAATAGCCCTTGGCGTTTCCAGGTTAGTAGCATAGTTTGGGCGAACGACGACGAGGTGATTGCGTTCCCCAGCATGTGTGTTGCCCAGCTGCGACGTGGTGATGATGAACAAGGCACCTGCGGCACCTGAAGTGATTAGGACATCATCGGCGCTGACTTTGGCATCTTCGGCGATCAGCTTCCGTAACTCGGTCTCGCCTCGGTGTTCATTGTAGAGAAGTTTGAGGTTTGGAATCTGAAGCCCTAGAGATTCGAGAGTCTGGTCGGTGATGGAGCTTTCGGAAAGATTGTACTTGATCTTGTCATAGCCGTACTCTTCGGGCGCCTCAATCTCGATGGGCATGCGCTCGTACTTCATCTTTGGGAGTGTGATGGGAGGTTTGATAGGAATTTATGGCGAGAAAAGGACATGCATAAGATGAGCCGTTAAGGTCACAAGAAGGAACATATCGTTTTATTTAAACATTTTCGAGGAGGACAAAGCACTCGGTAAGAGGCAATGCCAGCTCCATTGAGTTGTAAAAAGTATTGCATACATACATCCATCGATGGATGTAGTAAGTAGTAGTAGTAGTTAGTAGTGAAGTCTCCACTTTCCCCCTGGTAGGCTTCGGCTCACTTGCCCTCCCAGGTGATGACTGAAACTAGCCCGCTTCCAACTACCCTCCCAGTTTACCCTCCCAGTTTACTCTCCCAGTTTATACCTCCTACTATCAAAATGCTTGTTATATTTCCATCTCGCTATCTTTGGCAAATCAGCATTTACAGGGCACTCAACATGCCTCGCTACGAGATTCCCTCCCAGAAAAGCACTTCTCTTCTTGCCCTTCAATGCACAATTATCAATGTACTATGTGGCCGTTTAAACTCCCGTCTCCTCTATAAGATGACTTCAATGCTCTTTTACACAGGGATTCATTCTCAAAAACAATCCATCTTTGCTCTTCCTTGTTCCTCCTAGGTCTACCCTCGGTGCCCGAATCCTCGCAACCATGTCGGTCACAGAAACCCTCAGCCTGGTAGATGCTAGCATTGCTGATTTGAGGCGAGCTCTCAATACTGGGTGCTTGACTAGTGTGGAGCTGGTCACTCTTTACCTACACCGCATCGCTCAGTTTGATATGCGAGGCCCATCTCTCAACTCTGTCTGTGTCTTGAACCCACAGGCCCTCCAAGAAGCACAGGCTTCCGATGACTACCGCGCAACACCAGGCCATGTCCCTCGTCCCCTCGAGGGAATCCCCTTTACAGTCAAGGATAGCTACAAAGTCAAGGCAATGACAGTTGCTGCCGGATCTCCTGCTTTTGCCGACCTCGTGGCTCCAGATGATGCGGCCATTGTCTCGAAGCTTCGAGAGGCCGGAGCTATCATCTTGGGTCGCACCAATATGCCGCCCATGGCCGACGGTGGTCCGCAGCGTGGTCTGTATGGTAGATCCGAAAGCCCGTATAATGCTACCTATGGCACAACAGCATATGCTTCTGGTTCCTCCAACGGCAGTGCGACTTCGACGACGGCCTCGTTCGCGGCCTTTGGGTTTGGTGGAGAGACAGTATCTTCGGGACGCTCCCCGGCCTCTAACAATGCTTTGGTCGGCTACTCTCCATCTCGCGGCGTAATCCCAAATCGAGGACAGTGGCCACTGTATCCAACATGTGACGTTATCGTGCCTCATACACGGACAGTCCCAGACCTCTTTGATGTGCTTAACATCGTTGTTTTTGATGATGAGATGGCCTCAACGGGAATCGATTTCTGGCGAAATCAACCTTATCTTTCTATTCCCAAATCGTCGGAAGTCCGACCTCTGGACTTCCATAATCTTGAAGATCCTCACGCTCTTCGCGGAAAACGGATAGGCGTGCCGACACGCTTTCTTGGTAGACAAGGGACAGAGCACTCAAATATCTGCACCAAGTCGGTCTTAAAATTATTCGATCGCGCACGCAGAGACCTAGAGGCCCTGGGCGCAACAGTTGTCGAGGTGGAATTCCCACTTATCGAGCAGTATGAGAAGCAAGATTTTCCGGGCCAGGCGTCCAACGTACCTGACTTATCAGTCAGCTGGGCAAAGCTTGAACGATGCGAGATGATTGCCATGGCATGGGACGATTTCCTGCGTGCTATGGACGACGTTGAACTTCCAAATCTTACATTTGCCGACCCGGAAAAGATCCACCCGCATATCGCACCCTTGGATGATCCCAGGGCAATGTCCGAGGCTGAGAACATTGTTCGGTATCCTGATATGATTGAATCCGTCCGTGTTCGAGCTACCTCCCTTGAGACTCTTCCAAAATGTGAGGAGGCTGTCAAGGCGCTCGAAAAAATGAGAAAGACGTTGTACGACGATTGGATGGATGTCGAGGGCCTGGATCTACTAGCCTTTCCGACGAATGGCGATGTCCCCTTTGCAAATGCCGATGAAGATCTGGATTCGATGCGTCACGCTCTTCAAGATGGAATCAAGTATGCCAATGGTGGTCGGGCGCTTAAACACCTTGGCGTGCCTTGTATCACGGTTCCCATGGGGGAGATGGAAGACAAGTTCATGCCTGTGGGCATTACCTTCGCCACAAAGGGTTGGGCAGACCAAGAATTACTTCGTTTTGCATTTTCATATGAAAACAGCTTCAAACGACGAACTATGCCCCTAAGAGCTCCAGAGATTTCCACTGACAAATTTCCGTTGCTGAGCAAGTGCTTGACGACATCCAAACCTGAACTATCTATTGAGCAGATCACGTCGGAGGTAATCACAGATGACCAGTTTGAGGTCCGTTCAGTTTCAGTTCACGGCAGAGTGACCTCGCCTGACTCCATCCAAATCTCTTCATTCACAGCCTTCGTTGATGGAAAAGCTGTAGATGGACTGACGGTTGAGGCTGGGAGGTGGACATTTGACTCTCAGCTCACCAGACGCAAGACATATGACAAATATCCTACGCTCGCAAAAGTTCCCAAAGACCATTTCATGTTAACCTTTGTAGCCAAGGCTTCAAATGGTAGATGCACAGCGCAGATGGTCCTCGTTGAATAGTTGGAAGCTATTTGAGATGGCCACCAGTGAAGTGGAGGGTCAGGGATCAGGGGTCACCTGATCCTTTTTGCCAGGACTGCCAGCTATCCAAGTCTCTTCTCCCTCTTCTTCTCACTCTTTTTCCCTTGCCGATTGGCAGTGGCAATTATATCATATCAACAACACACGAGCTCCCATCGGGATCGGGACCGCCAGATCCGTGCTGTTCCTGCCATAGTCCTGCTGTAATATCCAACAATCCTTCATGATCTTGAGTGCTGTACGGCTATTTCCGAACCCTCCACATCCCGTATCAAAGTTGGTCAGAAGTGACTGGAAGAAAGGTTGGTGCTCAGGATCAGCCATACATCCTATGACGCATAGAGGCCATACCAGGCCTCCAAGGGAAATTGCTAGGGGCCAATCACGAAGTACATCCACTGCCTTGCCGACGCTGTCTTTAATTTCTGGGAGTGATGCCCATGGTCCTGATACTATGGTACTTGACAGAACCAGTGAAGCCAGTGCAAAGATGTGCGAGACCCATGCAGCCCGGGGTGCTTTAGTATTTCCCTGTGAAGACATTCACAGTTAGTTTGTGTAAATATACATTCAGTTCAATACTCACTTTAATAGACATTTCAAGCTCGTCGATACCGTTCTGTAGCCGCGTATCAACCTCTTTGCTCCTCATCACCAAATCTGGCACACTCAAGGTTCCTTTCTCCTTCATGTCTGTTTTCCACGCCTGAAGGTGTGCCAAGTCGCCAATGGCGATCATAACCCAGTTGTAACAACCCATTAGGTCTGCCATCTCAAGTTTTGATGTTTCGAGCCATCGCCGGTATGAAATCTGCGGCACGCGGCCTGTCGAGATGCATGACAGGATATCGAACCATATAGCATGGACCATGAGAAATTCCAAGCCCGGTTGGGGCTGATTGTCATTTGATACGTGTTCCTCACTGGCTTTAGCGGCATCTGTGCTATTGGCAGGCCCAAGCAGAGCTTCTGGGGAATGCATGCTGAGAACGGTAGTCACGGCATCCAGATGAGGGAGCCAATCATATTCCGCACCATTAAAGACCTAGAGAGACGTTAGACACACAATAGTACTACAACCACTGAATATCTTACCTCAAAACTTATCAGCATTAAGCTAGAGGATGCAAATTCCGCAAGTTGAGACTTGTTGCCGAGGAGCGTCTCTGTCTCAGTGCGGCGCGAAAACTCAGAAAGCTCCCCGCAGGGCTTTGGAGTGATACTCGAATGCCTCTTGATTGCGCTGGTAGTCTATTTGGGAGACAACTTGATTCCGGTGAAGCGCGGAGAGCGCTAGGGCGGCTTGATACAGGGGGCCACCGCTACTAAGGAATAATAGGAGCCAGCCTCTATTTCCCAAGCGGGAACGGGGGCGGAAATAGGGGTACTGCCAATAAAAGACGGAATCAAGATAATGCATGACTAGAGATGCTGCTTTCGGCCCAAAGACATGTGCGGGTTCTGGATGCTGTGAATGCAAGCCAGTTGATGTATTTCTTTCATTTTGGACTGGGCTACAGACATACCCGGGGCTCTCGCTAGCAAGATCTGCGCTGCGGCTGGGATCGAGTCCCTTGCAGGTAACTTTTGGAAGAAGTCGCGGATGTGAAGGAGACGGACGCTCAGGAACAGCTGGGGTTGGCATTGTCAATAGGCTCTCGACGGGCATCTGGGGAGAAGTTGATCTAATAATACGTGATCTCTCCCTCCTAACTTGCCGAACATGATTCTGGGACTTTCGGACTTTTCGGAAATTTTGCTTCACGGCATTCTTGATGCGCGTAAGCTCTTGTCTCTCAGCGGTCGCGCCATCCATCCACGAGGGCTTAGGGCCGTACCCGTAACATGGAATACTTCGATCCCTACACTCCCCACAGGTGGGCGTTCGGAAATCACATTTGCGATGCCTGAGCTTGCAAGTCCAACATCCTGAAGGAAATGGTCCCATAGTACCAGCTCTGTTTGCTCCTTTGTCTCCCTATAGGAAGAAGATGATCTTACGGGAAGTGGTGTTCGAAGGGGATCACATAGAGCCTAACCGTATCAAGTATCGGTGGGTCTTAGCACGGCTAAGCCAATCTTGGAATGATTCCAAAGTCTTAACTCTTGATCAGTATGGAATTTCTACTACATGGCTCTTTGCTTTAACTGTTCAATCGGATCGCGTCTAATATACTGGCGGCTGGTGCTTGGGGGCTCTTCAACATGTAATCAGAGATCATCCCCACGTTCTGAATTGATTCCCCAGGCAGAGCATACATACGACCGCGCTTCGACCTTCCTTCCCAGGAGTTCGCCACGAGCTTCCCTCCCGGGAATTTCCCACCTTATTACCATCCACCGTGTCACAATTATACTCTCGACGCGCACCATCTACCAGACAGATAATCTCCTCTATCAAGCCAGAAAAGACAGTAGGTGATGGTTTGAATTGTTGGGGGATGGCAGCATTGACACCAATTTACACACCTGGAAGAGTACATCCTTGTCAGACATGACGAGCTTACGGAGAGCTTGGAGATAAAATGAGCCATCTCCAAAGAAATCAAAAGCCTTGAATCTTCCATTTTGCAGGTTAGTATCTTCAAAACTTATCTCGCATAAGCCCCATATCCATGCATATATTCGCTGCACCCAAGGACTTCAAAAAGCAAATAAAAGGTCAATTATGCCAACTCAGCCTCAATCAGACTCTCCGCAACGCCAGGATAAGTATAAATCCTAACAACCCTCAACCCAACTCTCTTCAAAACCCCCTTCCATTCCACCTCCGTCCTCTCCCTCACTGAAAAAAGTCCCAACATCATCATATCCATACTCGTCGCCGCCAGCGTTGGCATCTCCTCAGTAACTACGATCTCATTAAAGAGAACCCGCGAATACCCTCTGACCAAAGCAGGCACCAGATTCTTCAGAATCTGCACACAATCCTCATCACACCAATCATGCAAAATAGAATGCAAAGAATAAGCCCTTGCCCCCTTCACAGACTGCGGCGTAAAGAAATCATAAGCCTGCACTTCAAATGCCCTCCCTTCAGCACATTCCAAAACACTCGCAATAACAGGCTCACGATCCTGGAGCACAACTTTCCCAGGCAGATTTCCATACATCGCCACAAAAGCAGCAACATCATGACCCCGTCCACCACCAACATCAACCAGCAAAGTATCACCAATCCCCGCCTCGAACCCGCAAATCAACCTATGCGAAACGGGGTAAAACCCCTCCTCAAACCAACTCGCCTTTCCAGCACGGTAAGCACTCATAAACGAATTAAATTGCCGCAGATGCGGCGGCGTAGCAGCGACCCAGTCGAAGAATGGTAGGTCTGTTCTATGCGCCGCTTGAAAGGGTCCTTCTATGCCGCCCAGGGTCGGGGACCTGTATCCGTTTTTCTTGAAGTATTCTGGGAACCCGTTGAACGGTGGGCGCGCGGCTTCATAACAGAATATAATGCTGTGCTGATACCGTTCCTCGACGAGGCCGTTGCTTAGTGTTGTACCGTGGAATGCACCCGAGTGGAAGGCGAGCACGTTCATCGCGACCAAGTGCCGTGCTAGACGGGTCAGGAGTCCGACGTCGACGCCTGTTCTTTTGGATAGAGATTTCGGGTTGAGACCTTTTGGGGCAGCTTCTTGAAGGTGTTGGAATAGGCGCACGTCTACGGCGAGCCGGATTATGGCGGATTGTGCGGGCTGTGGCAGAAGTGGTGATAGTGTGAATTTGGTTGTTACATTATTGGGAAAGGTTTGTATCTGGAACTGGTCTTCTTACCTCTGCCCAGAAAGTTCTCTGGATGAATTCGCTTGGAATTTCGAGTGCGGCCACGAGTGCTCGGCTTTGCGCGATGAGCGCTTCTCGCGAACCGGGTTCATGTTCTTTAAATGCCTTTCCTGTGAAGGCAATTTGCTCGAGGATTGCGACGGGGTTCATGCTGGGTGTAGACTGAGGGAATTTTGGGTATTGATGTAATACACTATGCAAAAGAGGATCGATTAAATATCTTCGGGGCTTTAGGTAGTACCGGTAACATTTTCCGTTGAGATGTGCCGTCCCACCGGGTACGCCTTCGGTACATAGCAGTTTACTTGCGTCTTTATTTCCAAAGTTCTTTCTAGAAATTGATACTTTCCGTCAAGTGCAAATGCCCGGTCTTTACATTGAGGTACTCGAGCGACTAGAGCCGCACTAGAGGGGCCCACAGCGGGAGTTAACCAGGGTTGATGACTCTCTAGGTAAGTCCCGAGGTCAATTTCTTTGATGTCGATCAAGCACCATCTAATACCTTGTTGGTCAAGTCACACAAGTCAGGATATCATTTTCACAAGGGTCAATATTGTATATCATTTCAAAGGTCACTTATACTTTGATTCGAATTGCCAGCCATCTAGCGGGACTGCACGTATAGCGTGCACCCATTGTATATAGATTACTTGGGAGCGAAAAAAAGGTTAGAAAAATGTAATTCTCGACGCTAAAGTTATGGCTGAAAGGAATAATGGATTATATCAAAACCAGAAAGACCGGATGGAAGATGTATCCTTCTTTGAAACAGCGGCGTCAAGAATAACCTCTTTAACATCAAACACCAACTATACGCTCATGCCTCTACTGAATCAAGCCCATACTGATCAAAATCGGAATAGCCTGGTCCTCAATCCACTCGGTACATTTAATCAACGCCCGACGAGGCTCCCCAGGCTCATAAAACGTCATTGGATCCCAACTTTTGACGGGTTCCGTCTTCATCGTCACTTTGTTGAAAGCCTTCTGTTTGGATGGGGCACGGATAGACTTGAGAATATCATTCCAGTTCTTGGGATAATTGAGAGCTCTAGTATGCCCAATGAGTTCTTTTGAGAAGAAGTTCTCGTCTATCTCGGGGTCGTCGTATTTTGCTGGCTCGTAGTGCATGCCTGTGACAATGTCGCCGGTGACATGGTGCTTGATGCCGCTACCTGGACCTTGTGCATTTGTTTGAACGAAGAGGATAGTGTGGTATCGAGGCGATGGCATGTCTGGGTCTTGGATTGATAGCTTCAATTTGACTTTGTAGACTGGGTAGATTTGGGAGGTTGACATATTGACGCAGTAAGTTGTAGATAATGATGAAGATGGAAACAAATTGAAAAACCAATGTGACTGACTCTTGGTCAAGGAGCTAAACGTTTAATGATAAGAACCTCTGGTCTTTAATACTTTTTCCCCCGCTTTTTTCTTCTAGCAAATGGGGTATTACGGAATGCACCGAGCCGCCCAGTCAAGTTAGAAATAGTACATAGAGTATGTATATTAATGTTTAGTATGAGCGCTTAAAATCCCGTTTGACAATTAGTGTTGGTATTTCGAATATGTCCAGTCTTATCATGTTTGAATCCTCTACCCCTCACTTTAGACCACATGCTCGACTAGAAATACTTTGTAATGATTTTCCATTCGGGGGAAAATAGAAATACACATTCACCTAATGGGAATCTGTGTAAATGGCATATTGATACTGGCTTAGAGCATCTTGGGCAAATACTTAAAGGCGTGCACTTTCATCATCAAAGAACTCATTCCAATCTCCATCAGATGTATTAGTATATGAGGCACGCTAGATGGCTCGGCCCCATGGCTAACCTCCTCTCTGACTAGATTGACAGTCCAAGAAGAGTGATACAGACTTCCACACTGGTTTTGCATATTGTCAGTTACGTCGCTCAAAGAGAGTTTCTTCGGGTGAAAATGTGGGTAAATGCCACAGTCTAGACCATGCCTCGTCATGAAACACACTGGGCAGACGTGAATCCAAATACATCGTTTTCCTACAGGTTTTTGTAAGTGGATGCATGTAGTTGGTTAGAACTTTCCAAGCCCTAGATTTTCTCTTTGTGTCTTGCTTGGCGCATGGGCGTCGAATACTTAGAGTCAAGCATGTGGGCTAGCTTTACCGTCCAGTGTGTTTGCTAAGCTATAAGGTAGTCGAGATAATAATGAACTGATTGATTGATTCATTTTTTTGTTAAATAATAGTGAAAGGAGTAGGTGTTTCTCCAGTACGACTGGCCCGACAACATTCTTCGCCCTAAATCACCAATAGTATCTATGCAGGAATTATTATTTCCCCCTGCCTACACAGAAAGATGTCTTCTGAACATTTCCGTGTCATGTTCACTTTAATCCCATATTGTCCAGGTCTTCAATCCAAGTCCCCTTTCAACCAACCTTAATAACTATGAATTCGAACCGCACATGCCTTTAAGCAATCCTCGAGTCGAACATATCACCACAAACTGAATCTTTATTTGATACCTTTGTCAATAATTTTTGAAACTTAGAGCGACACATTCTGTTGGTAGGCCCAAAATCAACCCAATCGCATCAGTTTTGGCACGTAACATTTAGTACACACATTGCCCAATGAGCATTCAAGATGCGGGGAGTGTCATGGCGAACATCAAGCTACATAGAATTTAAGCTAAAATATGGCTATTCGATTTGGGGCTAACTTATGGTTACATCAGCTAAAAATAGTACTTCTCGTGTTCTTCGTGTTGTTAGTGGCTTCCAGTGAAGTATAAAATTCAGGAACACGAACTTACGAGAAAAGATCAACCAAAACTCCAGTTAGTGCCTCCTAGATCCCTTGAAGTTGTTATTTTTGTCAACAATCTTGGAGACCTCAACTGGTTGGGGTATATAATGCGAGATTAACGGCGATCATATCGGATCAGAGGAAGGAATACGAGTGAAGACTACTCCCGTCTTTGCTGCGAGAGAAATACGAAACGACGATCAGCTCGACAAACACGAAAAGCACTACAATGGGCCATATATCTTCCCGTAGCATATTGTGGTGATTTTTCTATAAAGGCTTCAACATCGATCGCTATTCGGATTCATCTTCTTCAACTCAGCCCTTCCAAACCACGGGAAAAACGAACCCTCCATCACAAAGACATACAACCAAGCAACTCACCATGCACTTCATTTCCCTCATTGCCTTGTCCTTCACGACGGCCATAACAGCGGTCAGTGCCTATCCTATCACCGGAACCACCGTCAACTGCCGCTCTGGTCCTGGAACAGGCCATTCGGTCGTCAAGTCATACAAAAAGGCCCAAGATGTCAAAATTACCTGCCAAACCACTGGAGATACAGTCTCTGGCAACAACATATGGGACAAGACATCCGACGGCTGCTACGTAGCCGACTACTACGTGAAAACTGGCAGCAGCAGCTACGTGACCGCTAAATGCAGCAGCGGTGGTAGCAGCGGTGGTAGCGGAGGCAGCACAGGCACTGGAAAGGCCATCATCGCTGCAGCCGAGAAGGAGAAAGGCCTCCCATACGTCTGGGGTGGTGGTGGCTGCAAGGGTCCCTCCGGTGGCGGCTTTGACTGCTCCGGTCTGACACAGTATGCTATCTGCCAGGCATTGAAGAAGACGATTCCCCGTGTTGCACAGGACCAGTATGACTCCAGCATGGGCAAGCGGTATCCTCGCGCGCAAGCTAAGGCCGGTGATCTCTTGTTCTGGGCTACTAGTGGTGATTGCAAGAACAAGGTTGCTCATGTTGGTATCTTTATCAATGATAAGTTGATGATTAATGCTGCTCGGACTGGTACGCCGGTTCGTGAGCAGGCTATTTGGACTTCCTATGGTGGGGAGAGTATCTGTCCTTATGTTATGAGGTATGTATCTCGTTCTCTGGTTTCTGGGCTGTTCATGCTAACCGGTATATAGATTTACTTGAGCGATATAAGGGCGGTTGGGCCAAGCTTCCTTTGAAATTTACCATTGAGAGACGGATACTGGGATATTCATGAGGATCTTCTATGTGGTACTCTAGATATATGTAGGAAATTGAAGTAACCTTCTATGTTCTTTTATCCAGAGTAACCAAATCTATACTGCAGCTATAGAGGTAACAATTCAAAGGAAAGAACAATGGGAAAGGTATGGGTTGGGAAGGTGGGAAGGTGGGCATGTGACATTTCTCACAGGGAAGGTGCGATGGAGAGTTCCACTTGAGGAAGGTATCTGGGATGTGACCATATAAAAGGCCCCCTCCCACCTTTCTTCCTCTTCCTCTTCTCTTCTCTCCCCAACCCTCTCGACCTCGCGACCACCATCTCACCGTAGCCCCCATGAGACAGCATAGGGGGAGGGTTCCGTAGCAACCCGGGTGCTTATGCATGAGACATCAACATTGTTGAGGCCCATGCAGCTCAGCATCCAAATCAGACCGGGCTTTCTCGTGTGCGTTCTTTGACAAGTGGCTAAGCATTTGGGTATCATAGTCACTTGACAAGTCCCACGGAATACATTAGGGGTGTCTAATCACATCCTCTTTCATTTTACAGCTAGTCACCTAGGTAGTCACCCAGTCTATGAATGAGCTAGACTTGGGTTTAATTTCCTGAATTTCATGTGGATCTGCCTAGGTAACATTGACATATGGCCTGTCTACATTGTCTTCAAAACCGGGAGACATCCCGACCAAAGAACTTGTTCAATGTCCACCGGAAAGCCACACGCAATTTATTGCGCCAGCTGATAGACATACTGATGTACGCCATCTTCCAGATGAGCGATGCAGTACGTCCCTTGATACCTTCTGGTAGGAAACTCTTCGAGCCACGGTCACCATTATGGGGTATTTGCATCAATGCCCGTTCGTCGCCGATGTACGCCATCGTGCCCAGGTCGCGGAAAGAGAAAGGCGGAGTCCGATCCAGGTCACCTTTGTTCAAGCGATCAGCTAGCCACTTTGATTCTTGGTTGGTGGCCTGTGCCGTTGCAGGAGGGGCACCCGTCTCCGGCATGGCATTATCACCCAACGCAAACACATCCCGGAGAACGGCCGTCTGGCCTGTTTCACTTTGCAGCTGCACCCGTAGATGTCCGTCGACGACAAGGGGACCTTTCTTGGGAGCTTTCTTGAATTTCCACGATGCGTTTTCGGGGTTTTCGGGTGCTTCTGGTGAGGCCTCCATGCTATGGACTGAGTCCGTGGGGAATGCGTCGATTGAATCAAGCGATTCGGTGATGAACTTGGGCATGGCATTACCCGTTACCCAAACACACATTCCAACACCCAATTCACCGTCCTCTTCGGTTGTAAGAGTCAGACAGCGCTTAGGATCCATATTGTATGGCGGAGGTGCACCAGGCGGGCCCCAACGCAAACTTTTGACATGGTGGGAGGTCTTGATATCGACACCCTCACGCTCCATAGTCTCCATTGCATATCGAGAAAGCGACTCATCGAACATCGAAAGCACCTTGGGCGCAACATCGTACAAAGTGATCTTCGGGATTTCATTAAGACTCGGGTATAACGCCATCATATCGGAGTAGATGAAATCGCGCAGCGACGCCGCAAGTTCGATTCCGGTTGGACCTGCGCCGACAATAGCAAAGTTCAGCAGCCACTTTCGCATCTCTGGCGTAGTGAAGGGCAGGACGGCCAGCTCGAAACATTCCCGCACACGCCGCTTGACCCTTTTAGCGTCCCCGATATCCTTGAAGAACATTGCATTCTCCCGCACCCCCGGTGTTCCGAACGTGCGGCTGACAGCGCCTACCGCAATGACCAGCTTGTCATAGGGTACTTCGAATATTTCCCCCTGTTCCCATTGGAGATGCGCCTGCATCGGCTCCTTATTTGTGGCCTCCGGGCCTTCCTCGGTTCCTCGCCGCTCTTCGGTCGTGCGGGGTGACTCGGTGACGCCACTTTTGACGACTGTTGCTTCGCATATAACGGTCTTCTTTTTCAGGTCAACTGCGCGAGCAGCTCCTTGGATGAAGTCGACATTGGCGCGCGGGTCGCGCACGGGTTCGACGATGTTCGAGAAATCAAGGGACCCGCTGGCCGTATTGGTGAGGAGCGGAGTAAAGACGAAGTATGAGCGTGGTGAGATTATGAGAGGTGCATAGGTCTTTGGGGAAAGCCTCCGCGAGAGAGTGTATCCACCCCAGCCGGATCCAAGAATGACGACTCGTTCTTTTTTATTTTCATGCTCCTGAGCAGCGGGGGGGCTTTTCAACTTGTGTTGCGAGGCATCTCTGGCCTGATGTATGAAGTGCCGGGGCAATGCTAGAAGATATGTATGTAAAATTGGCAGGGCGGGCAACGGAAGGGAACGGATTCCGTATACGTGGGAGCATCGCGCTCAATGGCCGGGTTTGCATGATAATGCAGGACTAACTCAGTCTGTCAGTAAATCGAAGATGGTCTGTTCAAAAATGATCCCATTCTAGCACCAAAAACTCCTATCTAAATGCGACATTGGTGCTCATAAGGTTTACTCTTCCGCTGACACATCGATGACTTCACTGTCGGCAGGGCAAGGAAAGGAGATACCCGGGGCGGATCTTGGGCCTGGCCCACTTGGTATGACCCATATTCGTCCGGATCTTCGTGCTCCCGTGAATGTGTTGGGAACTGAGAGCTGTTACTGCTCCATCTATCAAGCTCGTGGACACCCGGAACCCTTCGGAGCAGTCGGTGAGAAGGAACTGCACGTGCCGTCGGAGACGATCGGGAGGTTCAGGCACATGCTGTTCACATGGCACTGAATATTTTTGGCAGATTCTTATCAGCTGTAAATGAGTTTGAGGGTAACTTGTGAAGAAGAGGGGAGAAAACGAAGATATTATGAGTTCAAGGGGAGCGTCATACGATGGGGTTGCGCTAGGGCTTGGCAAAATCACATGGATCATACAATGCAACATGGATTTCAAGGTTATCTCAAGGATCTCCGAGGTTTTAGCGGCTTGAAGCTTTGATGCTGATTTGGATTTCAAGATAACAAGCAATCAGGTCCCGGATTGTTTTCTCGCGTTCTCTTCCACGGTCGAACGGATGCACTTGTGTTCGACTTGAGAGGCCGGCTTCCTTAGCACTGCATGAAGAACTGCATGAAGACGCCCGAATCCAAATTTGTCCTGGTTGTAACACGTCTCAATAGTGTTCAAGCAAATTACATGAGATTCAGCAAACTTGTCCGTCCATTCGACAAATAATCACCTCTCGATATTTTGCCTTCATTTAATAGGCGGTGTATATGGCGGTAAGAAACATCTCCACACCCATATGTGGCGTTATGTGGCGCACACACGTACCCCGAGTGGCGCAGCCGTAGTCTGAGTCAGAACGTCGGATTTAGGGGTAGATTGCCTAATCGGGATGATCTCTTTTTCTCCGCTGTATACCTTCAGCCTCATCGATGTATCTTTATTCGCCGCTCCGAGTTTTAGGTTTCTCGAAGGTTCAGAGATCATTTTGTAATGTATGCTTATCACCGATATATTGCTATATTGGGACCAATTCTCGGCTCCGAGCCCTGATGGCGAATTGGGGCGAAGATGACATGGTTAGGCAGAGCTGTCGTACGTATACCTCCAGAATGACGATTAACACAGCTGCCTGGGTGTATAACTAGTTGTATGTAAAGAGCAACATTTTGCTTCTGTGCATCTCTTGAGTACCAGATCAAGTGTCTTTCACTTTTCTTCGCTTTTCTTCTCTACTTTTGATATCTTCCAACATATCATTTTCTCTCGCAAGTTACATATTTTACATCAATCTATCAGCTCAAGATGGCTTCCATCTACCAACTCAACCAGCCTCCCAATCCGTTTTGGGACTTCGTCAACGACAATCTAGAGGACCATCCTTTCTTTGCTCCTCACGGCCACCGCGGACACCACGGACATAGTGGACGTCGTGGATGGGATAACCCCCAGCAGAGCGGCAACACCACCCGAGGTGCTCAAGCAGGTGAAACCACTGAGGCTAATGACAATATGGAGAAAGACGAAACGTCAGCATCGGACTCCGACTCCCCAGACACACACCAGCATCGCTGCGACCACTGCGGACATGGTAAGGGCAAGGGTAGGGGTCGTGGAGGCCCCGGCCACCATGGTCCAGGCCCATTCCATGGCAAAGGTGGCAAGGGAAAGCATGGACATGGCCCTCACGCCGGGCCCTATGGTCACCACGGTTACCACAACACCTCTAAGGAATTCCCACAGGACTCCGAAGCACCCCAAGCAGTCGGTGAGCTCTCCGAGGCCAACGCCATTTCCTCCGCCTCTAAAGAGAACATCGAAACCTCGGTATCTGACTCTGATTCTCCTGACAACAACCACCGCCGCCACGGCCACGGCGGAAAGTGCAAAAATAAGGGCCATGGAGGTCCTGGTCACCATGGACCAGGTCCCTACCGCGGCAAGGGTGGCAAGGGAAAACACGGTCATGGACCTCCTCCTGGGCCTTACGACTTCCACGGCTACGTCCATGACCACCACCACGGTGCCGGCGCATTCGGGGGTCCTGGGCGCGACGGAAGGGGCAGACATGGATATGGACACGGACATGGTCCCCACCCTGGTCCATACGGTTTCCCGGGCCACCACCACCACCCCAACGCCGGTCCCTTCGGTTTTGGGCCCCGCGGACATGGCAACCATCACAATGGAGGCCCCGGTGGCCGCGGCAGACAACACGGCGGTCCTCCTTTCGGCGGTCCGTTCGACTTCCTACGCCAGCTCGGTGCAGGACTTGGGTTTCCCATGAACGGGCCTACCGCAGAGGGTGTTGACTTCACGCCCTCCGTTGACGTCTTTGACACCCCCGCCAATTACATTGTGCATGTCTCACTTCCCGGAGCTAAGAAGAGCGATCTCAGTATTGACTATGATGCTGATGAGTCTGTTCTGCATCTGGCGGGTGTTGTTTACCGTCCCGGTGTCAATGAGGATATGCACCAGGCTCTTGTTATGGAAGAGCGGGGTCAGCACGTTGGTGTCTTTGAGCGTGAGGTCCGTTTGGGGACTCGTGTTGCACCGGCCTTCGTTGTTGTTGATGGAATCTCGGCGAAGCTGGAGGATGGTGTTTTGAATGTTACTTTGCCGAAGATTGTTCAGGATCCTGAGGTTGGGAAGAAGAAGGTTATTGTGGAGGATGGCGATTTGGATAATGAGAAGGATGCTATGGTCGTGGATGAGAGGACTCTCACTCCGGTGGAGTCTGAAGCAAGCGATGTTGAAGATGGTGAGACGAGAGAGTATGTCCAGGTTCATGTGCAGTGAGCACAGGTCGAATTTCTGTGATTTTGGATGATTTGGAGTTTGTGTTATGCAATTTTGTTTTTGTTTGTCGTTTCATATTTGAAATTGTTTGCCATAAAATAATGAATCGCCGCTCGAAATCGGGTGGAATATGTACCAATTAATCATTCTGTATAGACTTGTAAACGAAAGTCCCATGACGAATATCTATAAGTATGTCGTGATAATCACTAAACTAAACGGGGTATATCGGGATCATTTGCCAAAGACCCATCTTCTTGGCCATACCAGCCACTCTTTAAAGTCGGGGTTGATCTTGTTCTCAATATCCTCTAGTAATTGAAGTGAAGTGCCTTTGATGAACCAGGTATCGTCAACAATACGCAGCAGAACACACCAGTGGCCCAGCAGGACCAGTGCTGCAGGATGGAATGCTTCCAGATCAGCATGGAATTGTTTGGAAAGTGAGTATGCCCACATCAGGACCATGCCAACCTCTACATGGGGCCCTGCAAGCTCTATCTGACGAGCTGATATCTCAAAATACTTCATTGCGTGCTTGTAGTCTTCTCGGTAATCGGAAGGGTGTGGTAACTCACCCGGGGGGCTCAAGTTCTGGTGGGACTGAGGTTGTATGTGAGGGAATGGATAATCATCAATAAACCGATTGAGTTGTGATATCCGAGCCTCGATGTCAGGAGGAAGAAGAGATTGCTGCAAAGTCGCTGGGCTGAAACGGTGTTAGTTAGCTCGGTTCAGCAATTACCATGCCTCCAATGTGGGATTACAAGAACTCCAAACTCACCTTGGAATAAGCATTTCATCTTCAAGCCATATACAGTTAACAAGCGGGGCGAGCTGGGTTCTTCGAAGAGAGCGTAGCCATGGCCCCATGATAGTCTGCAATCCCTTGACGACGGAAAAGAGCTCCACCATATTCGATATCGGAGCAGGCCAGCAATCCTCCCCCAGTCGGATCGGCGAGGCACAGATGTATACCATGACCATAGAAGAAAAGCAGAAAACGGGCTGCCAGTTGCTAGGGTCAATTGGGGAAGAAATGAGCTCCCGGAATTCTTTCAGCCCAGCTGCCTGGTGGTAGGCAGCTGCCTTGAGGCTTTTTTCTTTCTGAGTTGGAAAGAGACAGGAGCGGTGCAAAGCAGCCAAAGCCAGTATTCCGTGCATCAAATATTTATTGGAATATCCCTCCGTTGGAAGAACAGTGCGCCAGACATGCCGTGAGTCTTCGCGGATTGTCAGAGTGTTACATGTCACGGTGCAGTAATGGTGCATGAGTTCAAGATCTGATGCCCAGTCATCCGTGTTCAAAGCCGGGATTTCAGTCGGTGAGTCGGACAGAAATTGCAGTAGATCAGATCTCCTCTCTGATTTAGGCTGCTCGTAGCCCAGAGTCCCCGGGTCCCCGGCGGGAGTTGCCGGATATGACTCTGCGCTCAATGGCGAAGGCACATAAGACGGCATCAATGACCCTGACTGGGTAGCGGGACTCTCAGCCGGGGTCGGTACGCCACGTTCAACATAGGAGCATTGAATGGCATGTTTGACACAGTTGGTACAGGGATATTGTTCATCGCACTGTGCTGGGTTAGAGTAAGTTCAAGCTAGGGGGCATTCGCCTAACCTTTAGTCTCCGTGATTTACATTGTGGACACCCATTGCGCGACTTGCGATGTGATCTCCTTGGACCCATTATCAAAGATGTATAGTGAGATCAAAGTGATGGAGTGAGATCAATTCGAATTCGAGTGCGGATACGGGGATACGGAGAAACGAATACGGAAACGGAGACGGAAACGAATTCGCCGACAAGCCTCTTCAATGCCCCCACATAGTCTATCCAAACTGCGTAAAAGCCAAGATATCCCCCCCAAATTATAAGAATAACGCTCGAATCAATTCGTTCAGTTATAAGGTCGGCTAAATTTATAGTGGATCGTGGAGGAAATTTGTTTCTGATTTGAGGCTATGGTGGTAGCTAGTAGCGATAGTTGTTGCCCCAGCCGATGGCTGTTGCCCTGATTCATATAAAGTCCAAACGTGTACCCCAACTACCTTAAATGAACTCAACTTCTTCAAACGCTCAACTCATCTCATCTCAAGATGTCTGACCAGCGTAATATATATGGGTACAATCCCTCTCTTCCCGCCGCTATCATCTTTATCATTCTCTTCAGCGCTTCAACCGCTCACCACGTGTATCAGCTTACCAAGTCAAAATGCTGGTACTTCATTCCCTTTGTGATTGGCGGAATCTGTACGTGAGGCTACTTGTTTGGCTCTTTCAGATCACAACTAACTCTCTCTCAACTCATACAGTCCAAATCATAGGGTACATCTGCCGAGCGGCGTCGCATGACAACTTCTATGGAATCCCTCTGTACGCCATGCAGACACTGTTTATCCTGCTGGCGCCGCCGCTATACGCGGCATCTATCTACATGATCCTCGGCCGCACAGTTACCTACCTTCAGGCGGAGCACCTCAGCATGGTGCCCATCAAGTGGATGACCAAGATCTTCGTGACAGGAGATGTGTTCTCGTTCTTCTTGCAATGCGCTGGTAAGTAAATCACTTGTCATCAAATGAAACAACAGGCCAGCTACGGTCTGAGAACATGAAAGCTAACCATACCTCTCATTTCAGGTGGCGGTCTCATGTCTACAGGAGGCTCCATGCGTGAAACAGGTTCGAACATAACCATCGGTGGTCTAGTCGTCCAACTCCTCTTCTTCGGCTTCTTCGTGATCGTCACGACGGTTTTCCACTTCCGCATCTCGCGTCAACCGACTTCCAAATCACACTCAGATCGCGAGCAAACCCGCAGTGATGGCTGGAGACAGCGCAATTGGTTCACAATCCTCGTTGGATTGTACATCGCCAGCTTCCTGATTTTGGTGCGGTCTATTTTCCGCTTGGTCGAATACAAAGAGGGGTACGATGGATACACCATGACTCACGAGGTGTTCATGTACATCTTCGATGGACTGTTGATGCTCATCGCCATGGTCGTCATGAATGTGTGCCACCCCGCTGAGGTCATAGGGAATGGGAAAGAGGGAGGCCGAGAGTATTCAGATGTGGTGCAGCTAAGCTAGACACCGAATTTTGTAGCTTCCAGGGCTGATGCAGTTGACTACTAAGAATCCTTTTTAATTATCGTCAAACCCTCTTCAATGCTCACCAGAACTTCAATTACTTTGAGTACTATATAGAAGACGGGTATATCCAGCTTTTGCCCAAAGATCGAAACAAAAAAATGAACAAGACAGAAACGACAAGCTATAAGACACAATATTCAATCATTACATGCCATAAATCGTATCATCATGATCTGTAGTCCACACTAGACCGCAGATCGTAACTTTTTCGCACAGTGCCATTTCCCAACCCACCAACGTATAGATCGGGCCTCCTCGACGTCCCCGTGCCACGCGTAGAAACAGGTAGCAGGTTCCCACCATATCCAACATCAATACTCCTCCGCATACGCGACAAACTGATCATTTTCTCCATCTCCAAAGCCTGGAGCGTTTCCTCGCCCCGTTCACTTTTCGCGGACGCCTTCTCCCGATTAGACAGCCAGCGCCGACCACCCACACGGAAGAAACCACCAATATCATCAACAGTGAGAGCGACCCAGACAAGTGGGATGGAGATTGCAAAGCCAATACCAAAGGTATACTTTGCCACATAACCGAGATTCAAGTGTTCGAATTCTTTCAGGTTGATCGTGAAGATAGAGGCGATGAACGACAACGGCAAGAAGACAATAGTAACAATAGTGAAGACCATAATTGTCTTGCTCTGGCGGGTTGTACCCGCAGCCTGATCACGCGCAAAGCGGGCTTCGAAGGCATTGGCGTGTTTCTGTTTGAGATCTAGCAGATCCGTGATGGAGTGGTAGATACGCTCGGCCTGTTTATCCATTCGGTCGATGTCCTTGAGGTGCATGTCAATCATGCGCTGCTGGTCTTTGAACCGTTTCTTGACCTCAAATTGGGACCGGTGCTGGCCTTGGTACGTCTCGCAGACGACTTCTTGGAAGTCAAGCAACACGTTATTTTGGTGCTCCAGCACCGTCCGGATCATGTTCAGCTCGTCTCGGATGTCCTTTGTCTCGGCTAAAAGATTGGTTTCCTGTCCGATGTCCAGGAGCCGGTCGACGAATAGTGGCTGGCCGTCCTCGTCACAGTAGCTGCTGCTTTCGTCTGTCCCATCGCAGGATTTTGGTGGAGAGCTGAAGGATCCGTTCAGCTTTCGGTGACTTTTCAGCCAGTCTGATGCCTGTCCGGAGGCGTGATTGAATTGGTTAAAGAGCACGGTCTCTTTGTCCGTAGCTATACCAATGGATGACTCGAACATATCGAGGAACTGGTATTCCTCGTCGCCTAAGCGGTGTCGATCGAAGACTCCGGAGCATCGATTGGTGATTATCATGGCTAGATCATAGACGGATTTGACAGGGTCTCGAGTTTTGGAGTTGATATCCTCAATAATCCCATCCAGCACATTAAGCGGGTCATTCTTGGGCTGGTCCCATCTCTGCGGGAAGGCCGTTACAATCAGATTCGTGCCCAGAACCCACATCCACAGTTGATCCACCATGAATATCTTGGGGTCTGCCTCCATTCCGGGGCTTTTTGTTTGGTACCGATACACCACCTGATCCTGATCACGACTCTTGGTATCAATGTTCGGGTAAAAAAACTGGTCCAGTGTTCGGCGGATATGGAGAGAGGTCGTTGAGGATGATAGATGTGCGTCGATGAGCATTTCGTCTCTTGTCCGCATTCTTTTAATCCCATTGGGTACAAAATCCAGCGTTTCCGCTCGTGAGATTGCATCCTGCATCTTTTGTCTTCGCTCCGTGGTCTCGAAGTGTAGATACGGCATAAACACGCAGACGTTGCACGCAGAAACCAGAGGGTGAGGATCTTTGCAAAGAGTTGACGAAGACAGGGGTGATGACCTCGCCTGTTTCTCGCTCTGCCCCCAAGGTG